TCTGCTCAATTCTGTAACCCCCCCATCTACATGGTACCCCATTGTGTTGACAAGTTTAACCAATTCCATTTTGCTGGAACCAACCTAGATATCCAGTCATTAACTTTTACAAACAATAATGTGAATAATTTTGTTAATATAGATACATGATCATGCAACATTTAACATATAATACATGAGTATTTTGCAAATGTACATGTATATCTTTAGCTATATTTCCAAAAGGGATATTAAATGGATCAAATACTGTACTCATGTGTACATTTGTATTTTTGCCCTCCATAGTGATTGTACTGATTTATAGCAAAATATGAGCAGCTGTTTCCTGCTGGGAAAAAAAAAAGTAGCATATTTTTACGCACCCTACTTGATTTATGGTATCTTGTTTTAGTTTTAATTTACATTTCTCTCATGACTGAGATTGTATATCCCTTCATATGATTATGATCCATTAATGTTTACTTTTATTGAACTGTTTGTGGCCTTTGCTAGGTTTTCTATTGGGGATGTTTGTAAGAGTTCTTTATATACTTGAAAAATTAGTGCTTTGTTTCTGTTTCTTGTTTTGTTTTTGTTTTTAATCCTCATCTGAGGATATGTTTATTGATTTGAGAGAGAGAGAAACATCAATGTGAGAAACATCAGTTGCCGCCCATATGCGCCCCAACTGAGTTTTGAACCCACAACCTAGGTATGTAGGTATGTGCCCTGACTGGGAATTGAACCCAACGATGCTCCAACCAACAGGGCCACCCACCCAGGGCAGTCCTTTGTTTTTGTAGCAGTTATAAATATGTTGTTTATCTTTCAACATTGCTTATGGCTTTAAAGATTTCAAAAAGAAGGTTTTTTTTTTAAATGTACTACAGTTTAAAGTGTGTGTGTGTGTGTGTGTGTGTGTGTGTGTGTGTGTATATATATATATTTTTTTTTTTTTTTTTCTATTTGCTCCTTTCTTTGGGTCTTGAACATCTTTAGTTGTTATGACTTCGAAGTCTGCCAGCTTCCACTTTTTCTTTCTGTGTCTACCTTGCTTTTCATCTGACCTTCTATGTGTCTCCTGCCTCTCTGCTCTGAGGACACTTGTCCTTGGATTCAGGGCCCACCCCGATCCAGGATGATCTCATCCCCAAGCCCTTACCTTAATTCCATCACAAATACCCTTTTTCCAGTTAACATATCATTCACAGATTCTGGGTGGACATACCCTTTGGAGGGCCACAATCCCACTTGCTTCAGGGACCCTATGTGATTATCTGATTGCTCCTTCTAGTTACTGACTTTAAGAATTATATTCCTAACATTTGATCTGAGTGTTTAATGCTCTTGAAATATATTTTCATTTCCTTTCAAAAGAATTATTCTCCACCTCCTGCCATACAGAGTGTAGGTATTGTTAACTGCATTCCATTATGGGACTTGGCAATAGCAAGCAACTGAGAACATGTAATACTTAATTTTTATTTCTTTCTGTTCCATAAACTGATTTTATATAAAAAAAATATTTACATTGTTTTACTCCTTCCTTTGTTTTCAGCATAAGTGATATACTGAACCACCTTGGAACCATGCTGAGTTGTAACGTGACATCAGACTTGTCTTTCAGTGTTAAAATTCAAGAGACGTGAGCCCAGAATAACGTTCCTTAAGCATGGTCTATAGATCATGTGTGTTAGCGCTGTTAGTATGGAACAGAAATGGGTATATATAAGCTTTATAACTTTGGTCAAGTTTTATATTTTTTATTTAGTTGCCTCCTAGAAAGTTTGAAATTTCAGAGATGTCAGCGAAAATATTGATTGTGAATGGGTTTTAGGCTTATAATGATACAGGCTATTATGAATTTTTAGTTTCACAGCCCCTTGTCTCAAAGTTGAGTATAAAAACTGTCTGCAGAGTAGATTTATTCCTACTGATCCTGTTTTCTTGCACAGAATCCTTAAACACGTCAAGTAATGTGTAGACTGAATATATTAACGTGAGGTTGTAAACTATATTTTTAAGGTTACAGTTACAACTTTTTAAGTGTGATGAAATGTCTCTTTACGCTCCTCAATAAAGCCTACCATTTATTGAACTAAAGGCTTTATGACTGAGCAAATGACGGTCCTTTTGCTAAAGCACTGCTGAGCGCAGGGAGTGTGATGTAGTCACCCTCCTGGCGCTTTTTCCGAAGCCGCTTCCATGCCTGGGTTTCATTCTTCATGCAGACACAGGACGCTAATGTCACGGAACTTGGGAAGTAGATTGTGTAGTTGTCCTTATTTTTGGTTTCTGGGTAATAAATTCTTGGCCCGTAAAGTTCATCAGCTTTGCTCATTAAACCATGAGTGATTATAAAAAATTAACAGCAGCTAGAAGAGATCTTGACGATCATTCTGGTCTAATTTTTTCCATCTTAAAAATGAATTCTACCTTTTTAGGAAAGTGAAGCGACTGTCACAAATTCAATCATTTATTACTGGTAGGGGTCTCAGTGAAAACCCTGGACTCACCGTATCACCACCGTCGTTCTTTGCACTCCATATAGTGCCGAATAAGTTGCAAATAGTCACTGCGTAAACATTTTTTGAATATAAATAAATGTGAGTCTTTAATCTCAAAGTATAAATAAAACATTATTTTTTATTACTTAGATAAAATTGTATTCAAAATTAACTCAATTTTAAGCTATGCTTAGTTATTAAGGAGAAAATATTTTCTCATCAGGAGAAAATATTTTCTCATCAGGAGAAAATATTTTAAAAATAAGAATCATAGTCTAGGTATTTTAAAAGATACTACAAGATTATGAAGAATAAAAGAGAAACTAACCGAAGATAGTGATCATTTTGATGTGTTTCTCCAGTCTTTTTTTTTTTTTTTTTTGTCTCTGCCTGGATTGTTTGTAATCAATAGTATCAGTTTTGTTTTTTGCTTTATAAGTGATTGTAAGCATTTCTCTTTTCATCGTGTTTCCTTTGAAAGAATTACTTTTAATGGTGTGTAAGTAACCTTTTGGTGTTTGGATGTTCCTCGTTGGTAGTTTCTCATTTTGTCTGTCATAAATCATGGTAAAATAGGTCTCTGAATATCCTCCCTGTCGCATTTGGTGACTTGTTTTCGTGAGCTTAGGGCTGGTGTCTAAGCTGACCGCAGGCTGGAGGCTCTAGGGCACGCACCGCCAGGTGGCTCGGGAGGCTGGTCACGTGCCAGCCGGAGTTTACTTTTGCCCACGCCGCCTACTTCACTTTTAAAAACCTTTGCAGTTGTGCTAGAGGAACACAGTATTGCATTTTCATTGGAATGCTTTTGATCACTGTGTTTTCTTGGTCCCTTTGTCACTGCTTTAGTACCAGATCTGGGGGGAGGCCAAACACTGTGCAGCAATACACTTTGATTGCAAGAAACAGTGAACTGAGGGAGGATGTGAGTCTTAAAACCAGGGAAACTGAATCTCACTTACAAGTACTCACTGAGCATGTTATACATTCAGTAATTTCCTTCTACTGTTTATGAGATAGGTATTACCTTCCCATTTTATGAATGAGGGGATTCTGTTATAGAGAAATGGAATGACGTACCCCAGATCAGTTTATTTAAACTGATAATTTAAAGAGCTGGGTTTCAAACACGCATATATTTGATTTAAGAAGCTTCTAGTAATCATCCCACACAAGAGACTCTGAAATGTTATTTTGCATGAGTAGAGATTTATTTAAAAATACTACTTATATCAAAAGAAAATCAGATGTCGAATGGGTATTTTTATTTTAATATATCTTTAGAATGGCAAAAGTCGATGAAGGGAAAACGTACCTGAAATTTCATGGCAAAGGTTGCGTGTCCACATTTGTGTGTGCGAAGAATTGTGAGTTGCTCCGTCTCAGAGGGGGTGGGGAGCCCCTGCACAGGGTGCCCCTGGGGCTCGGCCGCACCGAGTGTGATGGAGAATTTTCTGCCCAAGACTCCAGCAGTGCCTCCCCTGACCCACAGGCGCGTGTATCAGAGAACGTGAGGGGCTGGAGTAGAAATGTCCTGGTTTCACCATCTGGCTCTGTCGTTTGCTAGTGTGATCTTGCGCCATTGATGTAACTCTTCGGGCCTTGGTTTTCTCAGTCTCTTATCTTGACAGCCCGCTCCCCCACATCAGGTAACTATAGCATTTTCACTTCACTTGTGGAATCTCTTTATTCGTATGCAATCTGCCAAAGCTGCGTAGTTACAGAGCCTGGAGAGGATGCTAGATCATGTGTAAATAGTTTCCTCTCAGGTGAGTCCTGCCACGGACACGGCTCGATGATGACTTCTGGTAAATGTTTGTTTTCTGTTTATTTTTTAAAGAACATTGTCTTGAAGTTGAGGGAGGGAGGGGGCAAGGGAAAGTGGTGGGGGGTAGGCAGAGACAAACGTATTTGAAAAAATAAATTAATTAATTAAAAAAAGAACATTGTCATGATATGTGAGCTGTAATATTGTAATACAGCTACTATCTATGTCTGTATATGAGTGCATGTGGGCCGTATATTTTCACACATAGACACATGGATTTGCATACTGTTAAATTACAACTAATAGCATTATTGTAATGACATCTAGAGGGTACTTGATTTCTTTGTAAGGTCAGTATTTTATAGAGCGCACTGTACACATTTTTTCTCGTTTCCAATTTTTAAATAAGTATTCAACTTACGTAACTTGATTAATTATATAAATGTATGTGGCTGTCTTTATTTTTATATTGAACTGAGAGCTGCTTTGTGTTGACTTCTATTTTAAATTTTTGCTTCAGTGTGACAGGAGCAATTTAAGAGGTGACAGATATGTGAGCTTTTTTAGGTGGGTTTTTTTTAAAGACAAGCTCTTTTTTTTTCTTTTGTTGGTCAGGCATTTCAAAAATTTGGGCGGTAATAAATGACTTAGGATTCCTCATAGGTTTAAATATAATGAGCTAAATGATTTTAATATTGATGGTGTACACATATTAGGCAACTTACATTGTATTTTTCTATCATTTTTAGGATTCTGAGTAACAATAAAATATCCGAGCTGAAGAATGGCTCATTTTCTGGGCTAAGTCTCCTTGAAAGATTGTGAGTATTTTTTTGTTATCATTTCTTATTGTTATTTTACTTTATGAATTTTTATTGTAAATCTAGTACTAAATTCCCAACTTTTCAAAATAAAAAAAAATTGAGTTTTTCTAACATTTTACTAGGAGAAATTTCAATAACTGAATTTTAAAAACTAATCACAATTTCACTTATATGTGGAATTTGAAAAGCAAAAGGAAGGAACAAACTAAACAAACAAAAATGAAGGTACAGAGAACACATTAATGGTTGCCCTATGGGAGGGGGCTGAGGAGATGAGTGAAAAGGGTGAAAGAGATTAAGAAAGTACAAGTTGCCAGTGATGAAAACAGTCACAGAAATGCAAAGTATAGCATGGTGAATATGGTCCATGATACTGTAAAGACTGTGTGATGTCAGATGGGTACCAGACTTACTGGAGTGGTAACATTGTAAGGTATGTAAATTTAACTTTGCAAGGTATATAAGGTCCATAAATTAGTTGTACAATATAATATGTGAACTGTAATTGAAAAATGAATTCAAAGGAAAGAATAACTAGTATAAGCAGAGGTGGACAGACTTTCTCTAACGGGCCAGATAGTCAGTATTTTAGGCTTTGTGGGCCGGGTGACCTTTGTCACAGTGACTCGCCTCTGCCGTTGTAGCGAGAGGGCGGCAGCAGACAATACATGAATGAATCAGTGTGGAGGTGACTATTTACAAAACAGGCTGTGGACCATCGTTTGCTTATTGCTGGCTTCAGAAGTTGGAGATGCGCTTTTGAATTTCTACCGTGACATGTATGCCTCATCAAATATCCAAACAGAAATTTAAAAGGCCAGGGGGAGGGGGTACGGGACTTATAGATAAACTTTGATATTTTACCCAGATGTCTGTGAATGTGATTATTGTGTTCTGCTGAGCAGTTAGGGACAGTTTTGCTTCTGATTAGATGCGTTATAGGTAGTACTCATTTTTTGCCTTGGTGAGATGTACACGGTGGATATTTAATTTGCTTGTGTTCCGAATGCTGTTCTAGGATTGTGTTTCAAATTCCCATGTTACCCATACATTTCAGATGACATCTCAGAGTGCACCAGGGAGCCACACCATGTGACCATCTTTCCTGCTGAATGTCAGGCGTTCCTCATTTTCCTAGCTGTCTTTCTTGTGCTTCACTTTTCTCTACTTGGAGGTGGCCTTTCCTTGACCACTTCACCTCTGGCTTCTCCCACAAATGAGCACCCACAGGACTGCATTGCTTCCGTCACAGCTGTGTTTTAAGCATCACTAGTGTTTGACCCTGTCTCCAAATATGGCTGTAGTTTAAGGTATTAGGGGTTAGGACATCAACATAGAAATTTGGCTGGGATGCGGTTCAGCCTGGAATTTCAAACTGTGTTGTTCAAGGGTGAACTGTATATTGTTATTGAAAGAATTGTTTAAAATGTATGCTTCCTATAAATTTATCTCTTAACTTTTTGGTAAAAGTTTTTAAAAAACATTTTGTAGACTTTTTGGCTGTTTAGAATTGAGAACTTCCCTTCTTTATCCATTCCTCCATGCATCCATTCCCCCCTCCCCCCGCCCCCTACTTCCCTCTTTATTTTATGGTCTTGTCATTCTTGTACTGTGTTATATATTTGTCAGAAATGAGTGTCACTCAACTACACTCTTAATTACTGACACCAGTGTTGCATAGTGGTCAGTGTGTCTGACTCTTCAGTGTTCATTCCCCCTGAGAAATGATGGGTCTGGGTCACTAAAGCATCTCTTTCTCATGAATGACAGAGCCCAGTTCTAGCCAATAAGAGATGACGGGTGGTTAGCTTTGAGGCTTCAGAGAGAGATTTCCCAGCTCCTGAGATAGAAGAAGCAAGCCTCCATTCTTTTTTATGACTTTGGGCTTGGAGGTGATTTTTGGACCTGAAGGCCAACCTGACTTTGTGAAAATGGGGATCAGGGACAGAGATGGAACCAGCCACTAAAGCTGCCTTACTCCTTGATTTCCTGTAATATCAGGGAATTGTTTTCTTTTTTGATGAAGCTGTTTCAAGTAGAGGTTTCTGATCCGTGCAGCTAAAAAGTATCTTTTCTGATATACTTTGTATTCTTGTCTAAAGGAGCTAGCTCTTCAACTATTTCAATATTTCTTCAATTTTGTTTAAGCAGTTTTTGTTCACCTTTTTTTCATTTATGTTTTAATGACCCAACATACTCAGATTCAGCTGCACATCCTAACATTAGACTTCTGTTTACTAGGGAAACTGTGGATTGGTGAGGGAAATGTTGAATGAGAGAATCTGACTATAAATATCTTTTGGCAATGCCTGATTAATACAACTGTTATTAAATATTATACAATATGTCAAGCATTTTTTCATTATTAAAGCAAAAGTGTATCTTTAAATCATATTACACTACTTAGTTATTCATGAGAGGTATTTTCTAAAAACACATGCAGTACATCATGGACCACAAATTTATGTTGTGCTTTAGCTAAATTATTTCCTGTTGTAGATATTTTTCACAATCTGAAAAGGGAAACATGTTTTTTAAAAAATGGAACTAACATATATTTCTATTTGCAGAGTTTATGCAATACAAGTCAAACACATCCTGATTGAATTTTCTGCAGAGATCTTCTCTTTGAGGTGCAGGACTGGGATCAGCTGGGGATGGGGAGACAGGAACTAATATATTAGGCCTGATGATGAATTATATTTCCTGGAACTTAAAAAGTTAGGGACAAAAACTAATTTTTATTATGAAAAATTTCAGACATACAGAAAAATTGAAATAAAAATATATTATTAATACATTATTAATCTCCCATACCCCCAATTTAATACAATAATAATGTCCCATACCCCCACTTTTCTTACCCAGAGTCAATAATTATTCACAATTTGCAGTCACTTTTTAGAATATTGGAATATGCCTGCGCATACACACATTTGCTAAATTATTTGAAGTCAGTTGCAGGCGTCATGACCCTCTACCTTTATTGAGGTGGAAGTGGTACGAGTGACATGCAATAATCTCCCCATTGTCTGACTTGAATATTCTAATGATTTCGTGGGTAACCATAATTGACTTAAAAGACTTCTGTAGTAAAGTTTAGGTAAATGGAATTCTGTGTCTCAGCCATGGTTTACTTCTCATCCGTTTATCATCTGTCTCAGTCTGTTCTGGCTTCTGTAACAAAATGCCAGAAGCTGGGTAGCTTGTAACAACATTAGACATTTATTTCTCACAGTTCTGGGGGCTGCAAAGTCGAAAATGATGATGCTGGCAGATTAGTGTCCAATGAGGGACCGCTTCCTACTTGACTGTCTTTTCCCTGAAACCTCACGTAGTGGAAGGGGGGAAAGGGAGCTGTCTGAGGTTTCGTTTAAGAGGCCATTGATCTCATTCATTAGGACTCTGCTATTATGATCTAATCATCTCCCAAAGGCTCCACCCCCTAATTCCATCACTTTGGGAGTTTGCTTTTCAGTATGAGTTTGGCTGAGAGGGGCAAACACTGACAGGGGTGTCTAGTCTTTTGGCATCTCTGGGCCACACTGGAAGAACTTTCTTGGGCCACACATTAAATACACAGACACTAACGAAAACTGATGAGCAAAAAAAAAAGTTTTTAAATAAATTTCCGATTCTGTGTTGGGCCGCATTCATAGCCATCCTGGGCCGCATGTGGCCTGTGGCCTGTGTGCTGTGGGCTGGACACCCCCTACCGCTCTCCGTCCACCCCTCTCTACGTACTGAGTTCTCTTACTCTCACTCCCACTCAACAGTCGTGGCTTCCACCCTTGCGGAACTTCTGGTCTCTTGAGACGATGCCTGAAGCAATCAAAGAACAGTGTGGTGAGGCTGTGACAGGGAAAGCATTGTTGTTCCCAGGCGTTTTTCTGGAGGAAGGAGCCGTGTGCACTCCAAGGCCTAAGGATGGGGAGGAGGTAGTCGGAAGGGGAAGCCGGGCAGGGGTGAGGCCGTGAGGCGGGGGAGACCAGGGTGTGTGTCAAGGACAGGGAAGCCACGTGCAGAGGTCTAGGGGTGAGCGTACATGGCCGGCATATATGACGAAAGGCAGACTGAGCGAGTGAGAGTTAAAGAAAGATGCTGGGGGCAGAACGGGCATGAGAGTTGGTGTAGGAAGCTGGGCAAGGGCGGGACCGGGGAGAGCCTGCACGTTACCCTGAGGTCCTGAGGGGCTGTGGAGCTTTTGGAGGGTTTAACCAGGCACAGACATCATCAGATTCATGTTTATGAAGATGTAAATGGGGAACAGTTGAGAGGAGCAAGGACACAAGTCCTTTGGAGCTGTGTGGTGTGTAGGCTGGGCTGGCTGATAACCACGGTGCGCGGGGAAAAGAAGTGGATGGCTTTCACACATCCTGTATTTTGCTGTGTATAATGCGCTCCCGTGTATAATGCACACCCATGTTTTATGCACATTACACACAGGATTATACCCATTATTATACCCGTGGTATGTAATTATTGTACGCATGTATAACGTGCATCCTTATTTTTCCCTCAAAAATTTGGGCAAAAAGGTGTTCATTATACATGGCAAAATACGGTAGTTGGCAGGTGAGTAATACCACAGGGTATAGTTTTTTCAACATTTTTCAGACATGCAGACAAGTAGAAAATATCTCTAGCACCTTGATTTAATTATGGCTAACTTCTTTGTATGTTTACTTTATCTGTCTCCCTCTTGCTCTAGGTATAAATTTGCTCAGTTCCTTTAGTTAGTGTTCACTGTGTCAGTAAGAAAGATGTGTTTACATCCTGACTTCTGGCTTGGCTACATATCGACACCAAGTCCTTGGCCAGATTTCATAATCTTTCTGCACATGTTTCCTTGTCTGAAGCAACAGTAATACCTCCTAGGATTGATTATGAGATCTTCATGGGATGATACTAACTCACTGATTAGAGTGATTTGTGTAACTGAGGAGCCCAGAGTGAGAGCTAGACTTCAGGCTTGGCTGGATCCAGGGGCTCAGCATTTGTTTTCTTTTCTTCTCTGTTGGCTTCATCAGACAGGCTCATCTATCATGGTAGCAAGAAACTCATAGCTCCAGGCTTATATCACAACATCTTATAAAACCAATGGACATGGTTGTTCTGTGTCCCCTGTCTACCTCCTCCCTCAAGGTCCTAGGTTTCACTAGACCAAGGTCATGTAATCATGCCAATGACTAGGGCCACAGTATTTGAAAAATCAGGACGGGGTTGGTGAAGTGCCACACCTGGAGGGATGGTGTTGAGAATTCCGGGCACCGTCTGGTGGGTACCATATGCTGTGGGAGAGTAGGGAAAACAAGGGAGGAGTCTCCTAAAACAAAAACAGTGCATAGCACAGTGACAGAACATTCTATAATTGATAGCAACCATAGCAGTTGTCATTGTTAAATCCTGGAAACTTTAATAGTTGCCATATTTTATAGGACTATAGTTTAGTGTAGCTTTGAATGTGAATAATACTAGGATACACACGCCTTTTTTAACATATACCTTTATTCTTCTATTGACAAAAACAGGAGGCTTTAGAACCAGACTCCTCGAATTTGGACGCTGGCCCTAGCACTTACTGCTGCGGCAATCTTGCTGTCGTCTTTTTATACTTTAGTTTCCTCCCATTATTTCTGTTACTGTTGTTTTCTGTAGACTAGTTATGTGTAATGTGTGGAAATATTTGTTACAGTGCTTGTACATAAGTAACTTGTTTTATTTTATTTTTAACAGGGACCTCCGAAATAATCTTATTAGTAGTATAGATCCAGGTGCCTTTTGGGGACTGTCATCGCTAAAAAGATTGTAAGTGTTTGAATTGCTTGCCTGTGAGTTTGAACTGTTTCTTTTATAAGTAACTGTTCATCTACTTAAAGTTTTTCCATAACACAAAAATGGGTTTTTATTAATTTTGAGAAGTTCACCTGGCCAGGTCCAGGACAGAAGATAGAGCATATTTAATACAAATATCACAGGTAGTTTGATTTGTTTGGTGGTCATGTTGCTCTTACGCTAATAAAATCATTGCTGCTTTGGCTTTACCAGCTGTCATTAATCAAGCTATGAATGCATTCAGATCCTATGTGTTGTAAATTCCATGTCAGTTGAGGTCCCTTTTTATTACTGATAGAAATACTTTTCTTTCTATTTATTTCTTATTATTTCAGATATATTATTATTTTAAAACCTAAAGACCAGCCTTTATTCTGTAGCTGAGAACTCCCCTGCCCACCCTCCCCTTCTGCTGTTTCACAGTTGTTGAGAAGTAACCCTACACTCAAGCCATGTGTATACTGTCCCCCCTGCCATCCTGTATTCCTCCTAAAGACATTTATTACGTGCTGGCTGCTTGCCATTCTCTGACTGCTCTGCAACAGCCTGCAGACTCGGGGGGGGGGCAAGTAGATGGACCATGATTCTACATCATGCATATGCGCTGTAGCAGATAAAATAATAATCATCCGCCAGGGAAAGGAGGCACTGCCTGAGAGGGGGTTGGCCAGCCCTAGGACCGGCCAACATTCAGATTCGACTTCGTTCCCTGTGTGAGGACGAGCAGAAGCGGGGAAGACTTAGGTGTGAGACCATGTCTCTTGGGACAGTAGTGTCGTTGCGTGGCCATAGCCTAAAGTAGAAACAGGGATAAGAAGACCATCAGGCTGTTCAGGGCAGGACTGGGCTCTTGTAGGCATTGATGACCTCTTGCCATGTTTTAAACATCCCAAATCTATTGTTTAAATGGTAGGGGGGATAGGCAGGATTTTATGGATATGGAGTTGACATGATAAGGTTTGTGTTTCAGGATGTTTCTGATGAGAGTAAGGAGAAACCGCTTCAGTGCAGGGGCATAAGGTACTGAGGAGAAGGAGAGCAGCTCCATGCTTCCATTCTTTTTAGAAGTCACCTTTTCAGCCCCTGTCTCTCTCTGTCTGTCTGTCTCTTGTGGTTCTGTCATCCTCTCCTATTATTATTAGTATTATTATTATTATTATTATTAAGAGTTCAAGGTGTCTTACTTGTATTATGTCTTGTTTTCTTTTTTAATATTGATGATTTGTTTTACATTAAATATTTTATTTATTTTTAGAGAGAGGGGAAGGGAGGGATAAAAAGAGGAAGAGAAACATTGATGTGCAAGAGAAACATCCATCAGTTGCCTCCTGTGCACCCCGAGCTGGGGACCTGGCCCATTACCCAGGGATGTGCCCTGACTGGGAATCAAACCTGTGACCCTTCAGTTCAAAGGCCGGCACTCAATCCACTGAGCCACTCCAGTCAGGACTTACTTGCTTTCCATAGTGCAGTATGTGTATAATAAAACGGGCTATGTTTGCTTTTAGTTTAATCATGCCATATCCAGCTTAAATGTTGACACTAGCATTCCATCCTAATACTTTAGACATCTTGTAGCTCTTTTTCTGTCATTCAAATACCTGCTCATTTTTATAGTCAGATCCAGTTGTAGGAGTTGGCCATGCTAATTTTTCCATTTTTAAAAAAAAAATTAATTTTGCTAGTAAAATTGTCTTTCATCTGAAACTTATTTTCTCCAGGTCTCAGTTCCCTCTCTTAGGCAGTCTTAAGGTTCAGAATCCTGGAAGATGAAGAGTAAGAAGACTTAAAGATTCTCTCCTAGTGCTGTGAAATTTAAAATTTCAGTCAGACTCTGTAGAAGGGAATCTATGACCATGGTCTTTGTTGGGGGTGGGGAATGCTTCATGGTGTGTATCCAGCACTGTGTGCACTCAAAGGAAGAGCCTCAGGGATGTGTAGAGGGGATCGGTTTTCTTCTTCCCCATTCATGCTGCTCTTCACTGTTTTCCAGAAACAGTGAAAGAAAAACTGGCCCATGTGGGGTAGCTCAGTGGGGCCTGGAAACCAGAGTTCTAGAAAAGGAAGATAAAAGTTGAGGGTGGTAGACATTAGGTAGGCATCAGAGTGGCAGTGGGTCAAGTTAGAGTTCAGGAACCGTGTATCCACCAGGTTTAGCAACATAAAAAGTGTAAGACAGAGATGAGTATCAGTTCAGTTGCACACGCGTTCATTGAGTGTGTTCTGTGCTCGACACTGAGCGGGGCTCCAGAGATACCGAGGTAACCTGGAACCTCCTTGAGGGTTTGCAGTTTTGTGGAATCTTACACACTGACCAAGAGGCTAGATAATGGTCTTGGAATCTACTTAGAGAGGGATGGAGCCATGGCTAGAGTTTAGCTGCTAAGAGTCTTGGCAGCTGTTAGGATTCAGCCAGACTGACAACAGGCCGGTGTGTGGGGCACGGCCGGTGTGTGGGGCACAGCCGGTGTGTGGGGCACAGCCGGTAACAGGCGGCACAGCTCTCCGGGAGCAGAGGGAGCAGAGTCGCTAGGGAGTGAAGGGGAGAGGCGCAATGAGCTGGAAGTACCACAGCAACTCGTGTCCTTTGTGCTTCTCAGTGGGAGCAGACAGACGCTGTGTTTGGATGGGTCGGTTCAAACCTGTGCCTAAGCTGAACGCGGGGGTATAGGTGCTAGACCTACCTTGTCAGAAACTCTGGGGCCAAGGTCAAATCATCTCTGGTTTAACTGCTCCTTCCGGTGATTCTGATGCTGAAGTGTGAGAACTTCTAGAGTATTTTAAGATTTTTCCTACCAACTTTTTTTCCAAGGGAAGCGGTGTGATATCCTATTGCTTGAGAAGATGGATTATTTTTTTCCTCTGTGATCCACTGGTCCACAGATCCACACCTTTGTAGTCACAGCTTTTTTGGAAGGACGTGTTTGGGCTTTTTTGTTTTTGTTTTTGTTTTGAAGATTAATGCTAACAGTCTCTCCATGTCGAGATAGAAGTTGAAAAAAACTGGACTGTTACTAAAAAGCAGTTTCATGAGGATGTTTTAAGGATACTGCAAAATATCTTTGGCTCTCCATCTAGTTCTCCGTCCTTCAGTAAATAATTTCTCAATTACTGCCATCCAAAATAAATATATAGATTTCCTGCTCAGTAGCATTTAATTTAATTACTAATATTGTACCAGACATTGCCTTAGCATTTTGCATTGCATTACACATTAAGTAGTCTCTTGTGTTCTTGCCTAGGAAGATAATTTCCATTTATAATGTTTTTCCCACTAGAAAATATCGTCTTAATTTCAAACAGCTGACTTGTAATAGAACATACAGTGTACAGCTTGCAAGCTGAGAGTGTCTTAGATGTAAACTCAATGAGATATAAAGATATTCTGCAGTGGTAACGTTTCACAGTTGCTTCTAGATACAGGCGCTTTTTCTTATGGGGCCTTAAATCATTCATTTCAATTGTGCGTCTCACATGACAGCCTCCTGGTAAGTGTTTTTGTAAGTGTACTGTGCGTTTGCCTTTATTTTGTAGATAATTTGAATCAGGAAGAGTAAGTGGCTTTTTGCAGACTAAACTACCAGAAGTAGGTAAAACCTAGACCTGCTCAGCGTCTCTTTTTGCTTTATCAACAGATTCATGCCAATTCTCAGTCTACATGAACACCCATTATCAATACCTAAATACCATTTTAAATAGATATAGCTCTAATGAAATTGTTTCCCAAAGAATCAATGGTAATTACACCATTTAAAGCTCAGAATTGAGACAAGAGAATGAATAGAGCCTAGAAATGCTTGTTTAAGCAACAACACGCAAGATGATGCCTCATTTTCTTAAACAGTAAAACCTAGAAATAAAAGGAAAATCGGCTAGAATTAAAAAAAAAAAAGACCTTCACAATTAAATACTTAGCTTTAATAGTCTGCGGAGCTGGAGAATAGCAAGTGCAGATAAAGACATACATTGCTTAAGATTCTTTCATCAAAAGTTGACATAAGAAAGGAAAAGTAGAACTATGAGATTACAGAACACAGGATTATCCGAGCTACAAAATATCTAAGTGAAAGTTTAGTTCAGTTCAAATGCCATGTCCTTAAAATTTCTTGTCAGATTGATGTATTTTCTTCCATTACCAAGTATACCATTTAAAATCCAACAATTTTAGTGTAGAAGTGGGAGATGCCAATCACGTCTCTGAGGAGAGTTAACTCAGAGTGTACCTCAGAGGACGTGTCAATTCTCCATTAAAGGGAATAGTATGGACATTAAAGAAAATGTGATAAAAATATTTTTGAAAGTTTAGTGTAAAAGCGTATTCTCATTCTTTTTGTCAAAATTTAAAGTGGTGAATAATTCCAACTCTAAAAACTGATAAAAACTAAGATTCATTGTTTTAGGATTTTCTTGCAATATTGTTTGCAGAGTTCACTGATAAATGATGAAAGCCACGCCATCTTATTTTAAGGTTCTAGAAATTATTATTTATTTTCTCCCAATTAAAATGTAATTACCAGATTAAAATGTAAAATTGTGTTCACTGTCCTTGGCGTAAAGAAAAATAGTGAAGAAACAATAACATACAGGGGTGGGCAAAAGTAGGCTTACAGTTGTGAGTGCTCGAAACACAGAGTTCACTCTCGTATTATTATTGTATTACAACTGTAAACCTACTTTTGTCCACCCCTCTATTTACCAAGTATTTTACACAGATGCAAATGAAAAGGTTTTATGGATTGAGAAGGAAAAATATTGAGAAAATAACATTTGATGGGAACTATAAGAATTTAGGAGTGTTGGCAAAAAAATTGAGCCATTACCTACATATTGTTAACGGATGTCTAGGTAATGGCCCAGTTACTTTTTATGGAGACTAAGTGATAGAGCTGTGAAGTAGAAGCTAACTCAGGTATGTTTTCTTTACATTGAAAACTTCTGAGTACTTACGGAGATTCAAGTTCCAGCATTTAAATGATGTTCGTCCACTTCTCCATTGTGTCAGCTGGTGGCTGAGATAGGGCTCTGCTCCCTCACTTTTCCCAGCATAAACCTGTGCAGGTCATCTTTGTAATATTTTGTAACTGACATATATAAAGAAGCTGAGGTGGCCTTTGTCAACCAACTTGTATCAGAGACATAAGGAGATTCATTCCCATTTGTCCTCCTCCAGCTATATCTTAAGTCATTCTATAGGAGTCAGTGCTTGAAACGCAAAGGGCACTCACTGTATGTAGTTAATCAGCATTTAGTCTTTACATACCAGAGTAGGTGAGAGCAAGGATTAGTGCCTCTTAGTGCCATCATGTTGCTATTTCTCTTAAGGTAGGTACCTCAGAGGCACTGAAAAGAAAGGTTCTGTATGATACCTGGCTGCTGTTTTTGAATATTGAATGTATGAAACCTTCATTAACCAAGAGAACTAATTGAAGACATCTTTTTTCCCCCCTTTATCCTTAGGGATCTGACAAATAATCGGATTGGATGTCTGAATGCAGACATATTTCGAGGACTCACCAATCTGGTTAGATTGTAAGTATATCTTTGTTTCCTATTATGAGATAAGAAAATATTTGAATCAGTACCCAAATATTTATAAATACCTATGACATGTTTAATATTCAAGTAATGGCTATACAGTAGCAACTGAAGTGGTAGAGGGATAGGGATCTTGGAATTTAGTCATGGAGATACTTGCAGTGTCATCAGAATATGATATTACCTTACTGTACACACTGTAACAATCTATGACATATACAGAATATCCTTTAAATACATCCTAAGACAAGCTGGCCATTGAGGTAGCTTCTGAACCTTCAGGAATGGGGGTGGGGTAGGCAAAAATGGGTGAAGGCAGTCCACAGATACAGACTTCCACTTACGAGATAAATACGTCCTGGGGATGCAACATAGAGCGTGGGGGCTCTAGTTAACAAGACTGTATTGTACATTTGAAAGTTGCTAAGTCAGTCCACCTTCAGGTTCTCACACAAGAAAAAAATTGTAGCTGTATGTGGTGATGGATGTTAACTGAACTTATCGTGGTAATCATTTTGCACTATGCATGTATGTATGTTGTATACCTAAAACTAATACAGTGTTATATGTCAATTATATCTTAATTTAAAAAAAATTTAAAAACAACAAATTCTTTAATGGGAAAAATAAAAGATAAGCAAAGCCACCACCAAAACCCCACTCCGAAAGAAAACATTTCAGGAATTCGTTGCTGTCGAATTGCCTGTGCTAATTTGGGTTGACATGGTCCAGAGTTAGGGACCAAGAAAGTTTGGGTACTTGTTCTGTACAGGCTTCTTTGATCGCCAGATTTCCGGGCTCTCTGAGCCAGGCAGTGTGCTTGCTGGGAAGGCTGGTGACAATCTGTAATTTAGACTTGGAGAATATACCATTTTCTCAATGTAACAGGTAGAAAAGGAAATCTGATGAGTAATAGGATTACAGTACATTTCTTAGATTTAGAATCAGAGAGCTCCCTTTTACCGCTTCTGAAATAGGAAGTATACACAGGAAAGGAGACTAGAGTGGACCCCTGTTTTGCTGGTTCCTAGGCTGCCTCCCCAGCTGAGCCCTCTGGGGTTACTGGGGACATGGGCTCTCAGCCTGACTGCGCCTCTTCCCAGGAGCCTAGAATGCAGTGTTCTCGCCCAGACCCTCCTCCTTTAGAGACAAGCGTTGGCTCTGGGGGTTTAGGTTAAATATTGGAAAATAAATATGTCAGAGGCTTCAGTGGACGTGGGTGTGAGTTTTGGGGGTTGGGGTAGATTAATTCTGTATTTTGCCCTCTGCCTTTGTCGATGGGAAGAAATTGGGGAAAGACGTAGCCCAGGGAAGTGAAGCCAAGCCTAAGTTCCCACCCGTCCCACCCTCACACTGGAAACACCCGGCAGACCAGAGATCTGGAAACCAACAGGGACATCTGTCCTTCGCTTAGAAGTTCATTTACAAAGACATTCTCACGGGATTACCAAACCAGAAGCTCTCCTGTTTTTCACTTTTTAATGAATTGAAAACCTGTAATTTTTTCTAAGAACTATACCTTTAATATATTTTTTAGAGATAATCGGTGAGGTATATTTATATGAACTTCCTTTATACAATAAAAAAAATACTGATGTCATTAAGTAACAAAACCATACAGCAATATGAAGGGAAAGTTAAATCTTCCCTCTGTCATTTCAGACACATCATCTTCAGAGAGCCTGTACTAACGATTTGGTGTATGTATTTTCAGATTTTCTCTTGCTCCCGCAAACATATAGGCATGCATATGAGGTTTTAAAAATGTACTGTATTTGGCAATTTACATTTTTTAAAAAGATTTTATTTTTAGAAAGATGGGGAAGGAGGGAGAAAGAGAGGGAGAGAAACATCGATATGCGAGAGATATAGCAATCAGTTTCCTCTTGCGTGCCCTCAGCTGGGGACCTGACCCACAACCCAGGCCTGTGCCCTGGCTGGGAATCGAACCTGCGACCTTTCATCTCACCGGCTGGCATACAACCCACTGAGCCACACCAGTTAGGGTGTCAGTTTACATTTTTTAAAAAAATTACCAACATGTTAATCTTTTCAAGGGCATACATGTTGATTTAGTTTATGCTTGTTAATAGCTACAGAATATTTCAAGGATAAAATTTTGTAATTTAGTCAGTTATTTCTCTGTTACAAGAGATTTCATTGCATTTCCTCTTCCTTTAACAAATTTGCCCTGGTAAACACCACGGTATACACACAGATTGATGTACCGTGTTCATTTCACTTAAAGGGATTCAGATGTATCTGTTTCAGAGAAAGTAAGTCAGTAAAGAAAAGTTAAGCAAGAGAGTAAAAAAACAGCAGCCTGAAGGGTGGGAGATGGGGCGGAGGAGTGGTAGATAGTTCACCTGCCACTGCTTCCAGTGAGCTTACGAGGACACGGGAGCAGTGATTTTGCTGGTACCTTGTCATCGCCGTGGCCTTTTGCTTGTTTGTGTGTAAGCGTCTCAGAGCTAGAGTGCCATTCTACAGTTTTAAAATTTGTGTAAGTTTCAATGACCCCGAAACCGAAGCCAAACATCTTTGGTGTTCTGCCAAGCAAATAGCTGTCTGTTCCAACCCTGGAGGAAAAATGGGTGTGTGTTGGGATTTGCTGGGAAGATGGATACGTCTCTCTCCACTGTGATTCCTTCCTCTGTGATGATTAAGGGAAAATATCTAACAATACCTAATACTTAGAATAAAATAATAATTGGAATCCAGTGGTCCTTGTAAGATGCAATCACTTCTTTTATGCTTAAATTCTGTATGCGTGGGACAGATTTAATTTTCAAATTGCCATTATGGTATCTTTCAAATGTCTAAAAAAAAAAAAAATGTTTCAATGCTTAGCAACCCATAGCCAGTCTTGTTTCCATTTTACCTCCCTTCGCTTGTCTTACCGCCTACATTATTCTAAACAAATCCCAGTAGTCATAACTTCACATGAGGTATCTTTATAAAAGCACAAGTGTTTGTTTTTATTGTATCTAAGTTAGTTTCTTGAGTATTACATGGTAATTTACACTACCATCAGCAGTACCCTTTCCAAAATTCACATTTGATATCCACTCTTATAGGCCCAAAAAGGAAAGGGCATCTCTTTCATTGTTCTTTTTATTTGCAAATATCCTTATTTATTTGTTTGCTTTTTAAGTGCCAAGGCAATTCTGTGAGGATCAGAATCATTTCATCCATCTTTTTGTATCAGAAGACATACATAAAAAGTGACGTTCTGATTGAAGTCCATTGTTTGTTAGCTGGTGAAGGCTTGGCCTTTGCGTGTTATAGAGTCAGCAGGAATTCATGGCTACAGGCGATGTGGGAAGAGCTGACTTCTCCCAGCGCAGCCCTCTTCTCTCTCCCCGCTGGGGAGCCCACCTGCCTGTCACCTTGTCTCCCACTTGGAGCATTCCGAAGACTCCGAAGGCCTCCTGGCAGGTCCCCGGACTTCTTCCTTGAGAACTCTACGTCTAAATTGTATCTGTTCTTTTTTTTTTTTTGCTTCTTTTTAAAAAATAACTATTTTTTTTTTGCCCTTATACCCTCCCCCCGACGCAGTCACCACACTGTTGTTCATGCCAAGAGTCCCTTTTCCTTTTTGCTCAACCCCTCCCACCCCTTTAGCTGTCAGCCTGCTCTCTGTCTCTGAGTCTGACTCTATTTTGCTTGTTAGCTCAGTTTACTCATTAGATTCCACATATGAATGAAATCATATAGTATTTGTCTGCCTGGTTTATTCCACTTAGCACAGTGTTCTCCAGGTCCATCCACAGTGTCGCAAAGGACAAAATTTTCTTCTTTTTTTATGGCCAAGCAGCATTCCATTGTGTAAATGCCCCATAGTTGTTTTATCCACTCATTTACTGATGGACACTTGGGCCGCTTCCATATGTTGGTGATTGTAAATAACGTTGCAGTGAACATGGGGTGCTTATGTTCTTTAGAATTAGTGTTTGGGGTTGCTTCGGATATATTCCCAGAAGTGGGACTGCTGTGTCAAAAGGCAGATCCGTTACTGATTTTTTGAGGTGCCTCCATACTGCTTTCCACAGCGGCTGCAGCAGACCCACACCTGATCTTGTGGTGGGCGGATCATGCTGCCATTCTCCCAGAGCCCTCGGTCCCCTTGCATGTTAGAAGCCTCCCGAAGCAGCGCTCCCCCACCACTGAGCACCTGCTGTATACCTCAGCATGTCACTAGCTGCCAGAGGTACCCCAAAATAAATAAGACACACAGGCCCCTCCCCTGCTGGAGTTCATAGTCAGATGTGGAAGAAATACTTCCCTGAAGTCATTATGGGTATAACAGACTACTCAAATTGTAGCATGGGGTGTTTTGGGTTTTAATTCATACAGCACTCTGCAAGGGTTTAGACAGGTATTTCTTAAAGCCATCTGATACAGGGGAAACGAGAAGAGGCCAACACTGAATTATAACCCAGATCTTTCACTTTAAACCCTGGACTCTTTCCACGCTGCTGATGTTTTTACTCAGTCACTGTGGGTTGCTGCTGCTGATCTTGCAGGTCATCATTTTTCTTTCTTATGTATTTTTTTAAATATTTGCTTTCTTAATAATACTGTGTGAACACATGAAAAGTAAACCTGGTTGCAATGAGAACGTGATTAAAGATCTACAGGTTCACCCTATATCTGATAGAAAAATCGTTGTCTAGCAGAAATAATTTTTAAATTTTGTTTATTATATAAGGTTAAGAACAATTTTCTTTTTCAGCCTTGGACAAACTACTTGTTCCCTCTTTATAAGACCTAAAACAACTTTTATAAATTCTTTGTAATATTTAATGATTATAGTATACTGTAGAAAATATGAAATAATATAAAAAGATATATTCGTTAGTCTTTTTAAAATTAAATGAAATTTTCTTTTTTTCCCACCAGAAACCTTTCTGGGAATTTGTTTTCTTCATTATCTCAAGGAACTTTTGATTATCTTGGCTCATTACGGTCTTTGTAAGTAAGAATTTTTTCTTCTGTTTCTATAAATATGTCTTAGGTTTTGAAAATTAAAAACAGTTATTATATGGTTTAAGAGAGTTCATGGGGAAAATCTTGTAATTTCGCAGAATTAGAATCTTTCATGCATTCACATTGAAAACCATACTGTAAACCTTACTCTAATGCGTTTCAGATGGGGCCAACCATTTTCTCCTTAGGATAGTATACCTGTCAAATCTGTATTTCAAGTAAATATGTTGGTAATTCTTTCTTTTTGACTTTGTTTTCACATGAGAAAGTATTTTCTTTTTTTGACTAATCAAATCCCCAAAGTATAAAATATTCCTCCCTCTGAAGAATTTGTGCTTAACCATTTTTTATACTTTAGTGATTTAATTTTATGCTGGAACCTCTTGGCCAAACTAAATTCACAACTTATTACATTTCTAGGAATGTTTATGTAGAATGTCTGCTTTATGAAGTCAATGTAAGATCATATTTATACAGTTGTCTGTAGCTTTAGAATTGGCTGGATTTTTGGTCTTCCGAAAACAGTTTTGTTAGCTCTAAGATTATACAGGTGTTACTTTTAAAAGTAACTCTTTCCAGGTAAGCCTTACTGTATTTCAAACATTAAGCTATACTGATTTTTATTGGAATTACAGTGAAATACAATGTTTTTCAAGTTTTTGTTTTGTGTAACTCATGGGGTTAAGTCTGTTTTCACAGGGAAAATTGTCTTCCCTCCCAGATGCCTCTGTTTGGGGTACACTGACTTCTTCCCTCCCCTCCCCTCTCTTCTCCCTCCTTTTTTTCTTTCCTTCCCCCTCTCTTCCCTTCCCTTCTCTTCCCTTTTCTAAACCTATCATTTAAATGTCATTAGCAGTTTCACTGGGGTGTAGCTACTAGGTTAGGCATCCACCTGACCCCTGACCTCCATGCTGGACATAGGTCTAGAGTTGCCCTCGATCAAATGCCATCTGATCTTTCTTTTTGGTGCCACTCCTGTTCTTATCCAAAGACTGCTCTTTAGGGAGGGGGGGGCGGGAATTTCCTGTTGGCATATTTAGTGGGCTCAAGTCAGTCATTACTGTGAAGTTTAGGAAATAAAAAAGACGGCAAAGAATAATCTGGCTTTTGAGACCGTGAGTTAACAGGAGTATGGGGAATCTTTCTTCCCCAAATTGGGGAAAGTCGCCACTGTTTTTACTTAGTAGGCCTAGAAGTGACCAGAAGCTGGTGCGTAGGCAGTAGAAGTCAGTCTGGTCATTCTGGTACTTTTTTTTATAGTTTCTGTTTGCTGTATCTTGTTTCAACTCCCTCCCCCCCGCCCCCGCCCCGGCCTTTTATTGCCGAAACTGAGATGAAGCCTGTGCCAAAGCACGGGCTGTGTTAGAAACACACATGGTTATACTTGCTCTTTGCTCTTTGTTGGTTTATTTGTATAGACCATGTTGCATTCTATTTTTGTGATGTTTACATTTCGTTCCTCCATTACATAATGCCCTGCAGGTTGGCAGGGGCAGGATCTGCGTGTATTTTTATTAGCTGGACTTAGTGAAATGTGTGGCACATGAATAGTTCGTGCTTTATAAAACAAACGTGCAAGAGATTATTTTGCTTATATGGAAGCTATGTATGTCCTCTCTTTGTTTCTTACACCCATGTGCCAAATTATAACACTTCTTGCCACATATAAAGATAATTCTCTGTTTTCTTTCATATCAAGTATGAAGCCTTATGTTTTTGTCAGTTTGAGTCTGTATCCCTTAAGTCTGTAAATAATGATGGTATCACTTGGTATATAACAAAGTGTCAAAAGTACTCCCCATCCTTGATGGACTTAGCACTCCAGTCAAGACAGATGAACATGACCATGTGAGGCAATCATATACTGCTTTATGTTGCCAAAATTAACCGGGGAGTCTATGAGCATTTAACTCAAGATTATGGCAGTGATGGCTGGGAGAACTGGAGAAGGCTTCAAGGAACAGTACTAGTGCTACATGTTTTCGGATGAACTGGTAAGCTTTTAGAAGACAAACAGGGTGAAGCGCTGGTATTCCAGAACCCTGGGATTAAGGAGCTTGTTGCAGAGATGAGGGCCAGTGAGTAGATTTTGTTTGCAAAGCAACTTTGGTGGAAAGCAGTGTGATTCCAGGATCCATGAGGGACCACGCTGGAGTCAGACCCTCTGGAAAGGAGCCTGTGTCCAGTCAGTGGTGTAGACCACCAGTGTGGTGAAGGTGAGCAGCAGCAAGAGTCCAGCATCAGTGGGGGACCGTGCTGGGGTTGGACCCTCCGCAGGTCCTATCACTGGAAAAGAGACAGTATGTGGTGCGGTGAAGGTGCGCGCGCTCATGCCCCACAGTGCAAGCAACGCGAAAGTGTTATTTCATGTAATTCACCCTAAGCTCTCATGTGTATTATGTACGCTGCAGAGAATTTCAGACGGAGTACCTCTTGTGTGATTGTAACATACTGTGGATGCATCGCTGGGTGAAGGAGAGGAACATCACTGTACGGGACACGCGGTGTGTTTACCCGAAGTCTCTGCAGGCCCAGCCGGTCACAGGTGTGAAGCAGGAGTTGTTGACGTGCGGTAAGGGAGAAAGGAAAACAGAACGCATTTACTGGAGTTTACCTGCCACCCTGTTTTTCTTGACAAACTGTAACATTCCCTTTACACTTTGATGGCACTGAATATAACCATTAATCTTCAGGGATTCGACAATACTTAGTTTATGTCAACAATTAAGTCAGCTCAATGTAGAAAACATTTTTTCTGCTTCGTTATTTAAGGTTCTTAGGTTCTCAACAGCTTTATAAAAACCAAATTCAAATAGTAACAGAGACCTTCTGATTTTCTATCAGGAATTAGGAATTTGTTGATAGTAATAACATCTCAGGATGCAATCACTGTTTTGTTCGTGGGAGAGTGAATTGGTATGGCCTTTTTGAACTGTAGTTTGGCAATACATATCAGTGTTCTTAAGAAATTGATATAATTTGATCCAGGAATTCTATAGGTAAGGGTTTATTCCTAGGAAGTGATCAGCTATGTGTATAAATCTTCATACTTTATATTTAAGCATATCTGAAATTCTCAAAAATAGGAGGTTGGTTCACTTATTTGTGACACATCTATTCATACTATGTAGCTATTGAAAAATGATTTTGAAGAATAGTGGAAAACTTGAGGGAAATAATACATTTACCATGTGTTAAATGAAAAAAAAAAAAAACCCATTAAAACCCCCCCACAATCCTTAAGATGATAGGAGGAGATTCCAGCTTAACCTTTGTGTTTGGAAATAAACAGTCCTATCATTTTGTTCCTTTCTCTTTAAATTTTTATTGCTATTTCACAGCAATAAAATATGCTCATTGGATAAAAATTAAAATTTATGAAAATAAATAATGTATATGTACATCAGATCCTGATGTACACTAAATATTTTATAAATTTAATTGCTAATTATCATTCACTGTTAGCTATTGTCAAAGACACATTTGTGTATTATCTTCTGTAACTTTTTCCTATGTTTTGACCAAAATATTACATTCTCATGCTTTTGTAAGTTTTTTCAGTTTGAAATGAGGTATTTCTTATAAACAGTGCAAGGATTAATTTCCTTCTGTACATCTTTGCATACATACTATTATTCTTTGGCTAGACCGCTGAAAGTAAAATTGTTGGGTTAGACAATGAACTAAGTATTTGGAAGGCTTTAATGAACCCATTATATATGTGTACATTTTTGCATATATATTTAAAATTTCTCTGTTTTGTTTTTCTGACTGGAAGAGAATATATCAGCTTTTAAAAAGTGATTAAAATACATGAGCTCTTAAAAGATTTATTCCCCTTTTTCTTTAAATGTTCTAAATTTTCTTCAGTGGGTGTGCATTACTTTTATAACCAGAAACCAGTGGTTTAAACAAAGGTAATATAGTCTGCAAAATGTATTTTTAAATTGTGTCTATATCAGCATTTCCTTATCACCAGCTCCCTACTCCAGATTTAGGTTTTATTTTACAATTGTTCTTTTAGTACTGCCTCTGTGGTCATCACAGTCCTGTGACACCACCAAGGAGGAGCAGTTCTAAGTGTCAGAACTGATTACGAAATGATTTCATTTTACTTTTCCCAATTTTGTTTTCTTCTGGGACCCCTTTCTCTCGGTAGCAGCCTTGTTTGTGCTAGCATTAGAGTGCTCGTTACTGGGGAATATTTGTTTTCCCATTTTTAAAGTTTTAATTTGGATTTCTATGCCTTTTAATTCTGGAGTGTGTGATGAGCCTTGGAAATGTTTACTGAGCCTGTTCCATTGTCCCTAGATCCCCCGCTTGAGTTACCGTCTTTCTACATGACTCCATCCCATCGCCAAGTTGTGTTCGAAGGAGATAGCCTTCCCTTCCAGTGCATGGCCTCCTACATTGACCAGGACATGCAAGTGCTGTGGTATCAGGACGGGCGAATAGTTGAAACTGATGAGTCGCAGGGTATCTTTGTGGAAAAGAACATGATTCACAACTGCTCCTTGATTGCAAGGTAAACTTTGTTAAGTGAAGAATTGTCTCTGTCGATTTTAAATATTTATCGTGGGAGGATTGTGATTGGTAGTTGGAATTTGAATTAATATTTTACCTTCCCACATTTAAAAATGCAAACATCGGGCCCCCTGATCGTTACTCATCTTGCAGAGTTAAATAGCCATCTCTCCCACCAGGTTTTTCGGGAGATGGGGGAGAAAGTATAGGATGAAAGGGAAACATTGTGAAAAAGTTGGAGCATTTTTGTTTAAAACTTTAGGAGGAAAAATGTAAACTTTTAATGCCAAACCTAATTTCTAATCATTTCCTTCTGCTAAGCTTGGATTTTCCCTTTTAGGAATCACTCAGTTTTTACTGTCTTATGATTAATGCTGCGTTTTAAGATAACTTCCTTTCCCTACCCGACTGGCATAAAAGAATATAACACCTGTCTTGTAAACCCATGACTGGTGTGAGCACCAAAATATTTAATTGAAGTCAACTTTGTAAAGTGTCAACAGCGAACTAAAAATATGTTAATTATCACTCACCATATATTTTATTTTGGTAAAATCTTAACCTACAGGCATTGGATTTTCCATCTTTGTGTCTCTTTATCTCTCCCTGCATCTCTTCCTTTCTTTCCTACCAGTTTCTTAAAGACAGAATTCCAAACTCTGCTGGGGCACCCGAGGGTAGCGTCACGACAGGCCCACAGAACTGACATGAAAACATTATCAAGAAACTAAAGCTTCTCAGAGTTGGAAATCATGTCTGAGAATTGTAGGGATAGAATATTCTATTTTATAGTTTGGTTCTTTACTGAGGTTTTTCTCTGATTATTAGAAGCACATTTTCATTTATATCTTTTAACATACTTACAGTGGATGCTTTTAAATCCTTGCCAGCTAATTCTAACATCTGGGTCATCTTGGGATTATCATCACAGACTGCTTTTCTTTTGAATATGACTTACAGTTTTCTATTTTTTAAAAATTATTATTTATATGTCTACTAAGGTTGGATTATATCCTAGACATTGCAAATGATTGATTATAGAGGAGAAGTTGGCCAAGTACAGCGTATGGGCCAAATCTGGTCTGGCCTGCTGGGCCTATGATCTGAGAACATTTTTTAATAATTTTAAATAGTTATACTTCAAATGGCTACTTACATACCTATATAATATCCTCAGTGTTGCTTCTTGGCCTTTGAAGAAAAAGTTTGACTGCTAACTCTGGATTTTGTTCTGTTCACCTGAAGAAAGCTGATGTTTGTTGCCTCAAGCTGTTAGCCTGACTAAATTCAAACTCCCAGCTCTGCCTTTTGTGTGGTAGGCTGTGCCTGAATTCTCCCCTATCTGGGCGTAGGTCAAAGGTCAGTTAGAGAGATCCGGGTGGATTTTACACGCTGAAGTTTGGGCTTACAGCCAGCCTCCTTTCTACCTTTGTCCTCTGATTTTCCAGCAAGTAAGATTGAGTGTTTCTGTTTGAGTAGGGTGTATCCTTGGACAAAAGCCACTAAAAGCAATTTTATGATCACTCCCCAGGGCTAATCCTTCTTCCTTCGGTCCCTGCCTGTCTGGTTTCCTCTTGCTTTGGATGATGCTCAGGGTATGCAGGTAGTTGCCATTTTGTTTGTCCAGAGCTTGTAATTGTTAATTGCAGGGAGGGCGGTTCCTGCGCCCCCTCTGCTATTGCCAGAAGCAGGGTTCCTTCGTCGGACCCCCTACGATTGTTAGAGACAGCTTATTAAGTCCCAGTGTAACAACTCTAATGGTTACATTATTTTTACCATGGTAATAATTTCATGAGTCTATATGTATGTTAGAACTCATCAGTTTTGTGTTTTACACAGTTATTGTGTGAATAGATAAAAATTGGCATATAGTACAATAGTAGGTCTTTAAAAATACATGAAACCTTTTTCTGAAAGAGCTTTGATTAATTTAGAAACCTTAACTTTGATGACTATAAAGTAACTAGATTAACTTGATACATTTATATCTGTAAGTAATATTTTAAATTCTTCATAGAAGTACAAAAAATTCTAAGGATAGCAGCCTAGCCTAATGTTTTTGTTGGTAGGGACACTTGACTAAAGTGAAAATCTTTCATATGAAGACTAAGAAGTCCTTTACCCAGAGAAGTTGGAGAAAAAGAAAATTCAGCTATTGAATTGGTGATACTGGGATACCTGTTGATTCTTCGTTGGTCTTCACATGTCATTGATCCTTGATTAGAAAGACTAAGAGTTTCTGGTTTTCCTCAAAGATTAAATTGAAGCTGCCTCTTTTTCCTTGCATCTGCAAGTGTGCTGCCTTGAGGATACCTGAAAATTTTATTCCAATAATTTGTTTTTTTAAGACACTGGATTTATTGTTAAAAGTTATCTTTAAAAAATGTTTACGAAATATATTAGGACCATAAGGCACCCTGGGTACCACAGTGAGTTCACAGAGGTGCTGCGGGGCAGTTTAAGTTTTTGATGAAGAACAGCGATACTCAACATTTGTCAGAATCCACACAGCTGCTAGCTCCAGGCAGTTACAGCGTCACGTTAGATCATGCTAAATTAGAATTCCTTTTGCTGGTTTCATACTTTGGGATGCAGGGTTTTTGTCCATTACTTTGATGCAAAACAAGTACCATGTGAAAAATTTTTGTGGAACAAGAAATAACGATATCATTGTCTGATCTGTGTCTGATGTTTGATTAATTTTGTAGTGCTCAACAGGCACACACAAGCCATTAAATGTAGTTATTTAAGAAGGAAATGTTTATTTCAAATTGATGTGTGCTATTTTCTCAAATGGCTACTATATTAGGATAGGGATACACAGTTTGGGGATTTAATTTGGTAATTACAGCTGCTCTAGGTATTTCTTTTGGTCTAGGGGCACCATGAAAAAGTTATCTAGTCAGTGAAGGGGCTGTGAACCATAAAAGTTGGGAACCAGTTGGATTACAGAATGATTTCCATGGCCTATTTTTTTTTTAAATATACTTTTTCCTAGTTCAGTAGAGTCATATAAGAAGAAGATTTGCTAAACTTTCTGGTTATTTAAATTTAATGTCAGACTCTTTTGTGTCACTTTATTTTGGAATACATTTATTATAGAGTATTGGTTTACCTACTGACTCAGTAAAAATGATAAACATATCCTTTGATTCAGCATAGTGGTACCTCAAAGTCTATTAGAACACTTCTTGTGTAGCCATTGATGGCTTAGGAGACTGAAAAAATGTGTACTAAATTTCAAGACATAATTTTGTAAGTTACTTAAAATGGTACTTTATGTCTAATTACTTATCATTTGTATCTACTTTAAAGCAAAGCCTAATTTGTCCTGTGGGGGTGGGGAATAAAGGTTAATTAAATGCTCTGACATTTGCTCTTTAATTAATAGGTTTTATGTTAGACAATTATGACTTCATCTTGCCAATTATATTTACTGATAACTGTTGAGACATATAGCTGTTTTGTAAGCTGAAGTATACCTTTACGTGGAAAACTCCTTTTGTTATACCATTAATTAGTAATTTACTACATCTTTTTAGAGACCTAACAAGTTGTTTCTTGCATAATCCTTCCACAAAAATATTTTACCTTAAATGTTTACTTAATTACATACTTTATAATATTAATCTTCTTTGTTCATGCTTGAATATTTTCCTTTGGATCAGTAAAAAGGTAGATGTAGCTTAGAAATGTCTCCGTTGGTTTTGCTGAAGCATGTGTCCCACTGTTTCTGGCTTTGCACTTGCTGTTCCCCTTCCCTGCTGTAGCCTGCTCTCTCTTTTTCTGGAAGGAGATGCCTCAGGCATTATGTACCATTGCACCTTATTCATCCATCTATTATTGCTCTTCTTATAGCATTTTAAGTCTCTTTACCTGCTCATTCTGACTTGGTGCTGAAGTACTTCAGTGGAGGGACATTTCAATTCGTTTTTATCTAGCAAGTGCTTGGCCCACAATATGCATTCAGACATATTTGCTAAATAAGTGATAGAAGCCCATGTTGTTCACCTTTTTGCCTAACCATATTTTCTCTCTTTTTAAAATCTTTCTTCATGCAGTGCCCTAACCATTTCTAATATTCAGGCTGGATCCACTGGAAATTGGGGCTGTCATGTCCAGACCAAGCGTGGGAACAATACAAGAACTGTCGATATCGTCGTATTAGAAAGCTCTGCGCAGTACTGTCCTCCCGAGAGGGTGGTGAACAATAAAGGTGATTTCAGGTCGGTGGCATGGAAAGTGTTGGAAAAGTCTGATTTGCCTCACGTCCCTTTTTGTCTGCAGAAGTTCCTGATTGGTCTCCTATCCTCTGTAAGAATATTAGAGAAATAGATGTGTATTTATATATATCTTTATCTAAGGACTACCCTGTACAACAGCAATTTCAGAATCATTTACAGAGAATAAAAAGAAAACAAAATACATTCCTGAACTTTATCTCAAGTCTGTTGACATATAAGTCTCTGAAGGTAGAGCCAGAAGTGTTCATTTTTAACAGGTGGTTTTGTTCAAAAAGTTAGAAGCCACTACTGTAGGGAGACTGGCAATTTTTCTAAAATAGTACAGAACTCAGACAGGCTAATGGGGTTTCCTGTTTTTGTTTGGGTTTTTTTTTAAGGGCTTTTTTTAATGGATGAACTTTGGAGGGTTTTGTATTGCTAAGTCACTTTTAACTTTTGGCATTGAAGTAGACACCGTTATCAAGAGAACCACGTCCAATTTTCCTCCCCAATTTGGGTCTTCTGTCAGTTAAACAAGAAGAACCAAAGCGGGTGAGACAGTTGTGTTTACCTTTTGTCCTTTTTTTTTTTTTTTTTTTTTTTTAATTCTCCTTGTCATGAGCCCAAGGAAATCAGCATTCATTATTGCCAATGGATGAGTCTTCGGGAAACGAAAGCTGTTGGCGGCCTGATACTTGGGACGCCATTGGTGCTGGACTGAGTTAACTTAAGCCGTATGAGTGAAGTGGTATTTTTTTCCTTAGGAAGTTTAGAGTTTGTAGCCTCTCTTTAGTTTCAAAGTTGCTTTAAACCATCTTTAAATATATTATTTACTTAATGTTTCCTTATGTTCAGGGTTTTAATAGTGAGTTTGTGGTTGACATAAATGAAGGGAGATGTGTTGCTTTTAAGAGCCATGGAAAGGTTGTCGAAGACCAGTTTGTACTGTTTGCGGTTGGTGCTGTTGCTGCCTTGTGGCTGTCAGCCCTATTTTTTTTTTTTTAATTTATTTTTTCAAGTACATTTGTCTCTGCCTACCCCCCACCACTTTCCCTTGCCCCCTCCCTCCTTCCCTCCCTCAGCTCTTCCCCTTTGGTTTTGTCCATGAGTCCTTGCTCTATGTTCCTTGACTTTCCCCTTCCCTTCCTTCTCCCCGCCCCCACTCCCTCCTTCCCTCTTGTCTCTGTTGGTTTCTTTTCCTTTCAGTGTTGCTGGTCTTATTTTCCTTGCATCTTTGTATTGTTGGTTAGGTTCCACTTATAGGTGAGATCATATGGTATTTGTCTTTCACCCGCTGGCTTATTTCACTTAGCATAATGCTCTGCAGTTCCATCCATTGTCAGCCCTATTTTTAAGGATAAGAAAATTCTGTGGTGTTAGTCTTTCAGGTCCAAGGTGGAGGAGCAATAACAACGTCTTTAGCTCAGCTACTTCTTCATTGTTTTTTACAAAATTATCTTTTTTTAATTTTCCTTGACATGAATGTAGAAATCAGCATTTATTATTGCTGGTGGGTATCTTTTTTTAAAAAAGATTTTATTTATTTTTTAGAGAGAGGGAAGGGAGGGAGAAAGAGAAACATCAGTGTCCTAGAGAAAATGATTGGCTCCCTCTCGCCCACCCCCACGTGGGGACCTGGCCTGCAACCCAGGCATGTGCCCCGAGCTAGAATCAAACAAGTGTCCTTTCAGTTTACAGGCCAGCGCTGAGCCACACCAGCCAGTGTGTGGCTTGGTGGTATCTTTTCAATGGATTAATGGTTAATCTATAATAATTGTATACCTTAAATTGAAATAGATAACATTTGTTAATTTTGTTACATTCAAAATCTTTTATTAAATAATCATAATATGATGTTTTTTGCTTATGACAGTTTCTATTTTTACTTACAGTGTTTGAGTGTTGTATATGTTTAAAAATAGAAGAGGATTCTAATTTTTAACTGATTAATGAATTATTTATCTTTTGACATGCCTTAAGTTATTATTCAGTTTAACTTCCACTGCATTAATAAGAATTTCACTTGGTGTGGCTTGGTCTATTTACCCAAATTTTGGTCTTTTTAAAAAACATGTTCTAATCCTGGATTTTCCTCCACTATTGCTTTTTCTTATGCCCTTTCGCCTTCCTGTGCCCAGGTGGCCCCGGACGTTGGCGGGCATCACTGCCTACCTGCAGTGCGCTCGGAACGCCCACGGCAGCGGCATCTATCCCGGAAACCCGCAGGATGAGAGGAAGGCTTGGCGCAGATGTGACCGAGGCGGCTTTTGGGCAGATGATGACTACTCTCGCTGCCAGTATGCAAACGATGTCACTAGAGTTCTTTATATGTTTAATCAGGTAACTAGAAAGTCTTCAGATTTCCTGAAGTTGTTAATAAAACATGGTATTCAAACCAAATACGTAAGACCATTTTTCAAATATTAGTCAAGCATATGCATATGGTGTTTATGCTTCACGTGACTGACCTGCCTTGGGAATAAGGTCTCGTCTTCTCAGCGGGTATTCAAGGCCCTCAGTGGTGTCACTCTTTCCTGTCACTGCCTGGCATTGTGCCTTTCTTTGGATATCTTTATTATCTGTATCCACCAGACAGAATTGCAGCCATCCTTCACGTCTACCCAGGAAGCCACCTTTTGGGTTCCTTTAGCAATCCCTTTGTCACAAGCGACCCTTTGTTTTACTTGTACCTCTCAGAAGCCTTTTCCCGTCTCTGCTTTTATGTGTCTTTTATAAACCACACCAGATTACAACCAGCTGGAAGATAATTCTGCGTTACACATTTTCTTAGGATCCTTAGCACCTAATAGACCCTTTTTGCAATGATCGGTGCCAAGTCATGTTTTTAAGTCAATAAGTAAACAAATGTAAAACATTGATGGCAGTACTTGGTGATACAGGTAAGTGCTAAATAAGTGGTTCCTGTTCCTGTTCAGGGAGGTATTGATTCCTCCCAGCTGGAACACTCAGGGAAGGCTTTACCAAGCAATTGGGATTGAGTTTGTGCAGAATTTGGATCAGCGAAGAGGAGGAGGTGGAGCAGCATGTTTATATGATGTAGTTTTATGTATTATCATTCATTCCAAGTTTTAAAAAAATTCCCTTCAGTTTTGTTTCCATTAAAATTTTATTTTTCTCAGGTTTGAAAAAGCATTTTAAGGAGGGCATGGTGAGTAAATATTAAAAGTTTGACTTCATTGCAGTGTTTTGAAATGCAAAGAAAAAAATGTCAAAAATTTTGTTGATCAATTTGCTAAGGGCTTCTTTTTGTCTTGTCTTTGTAGATGCCTCTCAATCTTACCAATGCTGTGGCTACAGCCAGGCAATTACTGGCTTACACTGTGGAAGCAGCCAACTTTTCTGACAAAATGGATGTTATATTTGTAGCTGAAATGATAGAAAAATTTGGAAGATTTACCAAAGAGGAAAAATCAAAAGAGGTATTTTTCTGGTATCAAGTGGTTTGTGTATCACCAGTTAACAGATGGTCATGTGATAGACCTGAATCTCTATTTTTTAAAATTTTATTTATTTATTTATTTATTTTTAGAAAGGGGAAGGGAGGGAGAAAGAGAAGGAGAGAAACATCGATGTGTAGTTGCTTCTCACACACCCCCTACTGGAGACCCGAACTTTGAGTGGGAATTGAACTGGTGACCCTTTGGCTTGCCGGCTGGCACTCAGTCCACTGAGCCACACCAGCCAAGGCTTCAATTTTTAAATAGAACCTTTAATTTAATCTCTCTTTTTAAAGCCTGTTTATGTTTGCTGTATTTGAACTAAATAAATATACTTTTCACATCAAAAATTGTCATTGAGAAACTCATAGTCATACTTTTGCTGGGAGGCTTAGAGGTGAACTATCAGGTCTTGGAAACTGAGGTACCAAGATGTGGCATAGCCTGGAGGGAGCAAGGGAGAACATTCGCTCCACGTTGTGGGGCAGCCTGGGTGTCTGTGTTGGGCTTTCCAGGTTTCTCTTCTCCATGTGGCCCTCCATTCACTCTTATTAATCAGGTTCAGTCATACAGAGTAATCAGGTTCAGTCGTACAGATGGTGTGTTAAGTTGCTTAATTCCTTTTGTAATGTCCTGGAGAAATGCAAGTCAGTTTTAGGAACTTTCTTGAAATTTCAAATGATTGGAATGTATCAGTTATGAAAATTTAGTGGCTTTCAAAAGTACTACATTTTAGCAGGCCCTTTTTGAAAGCTCTGATACGCTTGCCCAAGTGATGTTTGCCCTTTAGGGGAAAATATTGACAACAGCACTTTCCAGAATGAATGACCAGCAAATCATGCTTTGAATGAGTCTGAAGATGGAGATTAACGTATTCTTAAATTTTACGTTTCCAGCTACATGAGAACTTTCTATATACCGTTTCCTTTGTGATGTAATTATTTATATAAAATGAATTTTAGAGGTAGAATAAACCTAGGTCAGGTCATAAACTGAAGCCTAAATAAAATTAAATGTTTTTTTCCTAAGATTAGACGGCTAGGTTAGGGCAGGGCTGTAAACAGAAGCCAAGAGCCTTGCCTATCTAATCCAGGTTCCCTGCAGTTTCACATTTCCTTTCTAATACAGTGTTGCCCTGTCGTGATAAAGTACTCAGTACACAACCTTGAAAGATCTACCAAAGTAAATTTCCTTAGGGAAAGTGCTGTGCTGAACAAACTCTATGTGTAAAACATGTCAGATTCATTAGGATGTTAAAAAATAAAAAACGAAGCCTTGTTTTTCTTCGTCATTTAAGCAAGGAATTTTTTTGGTACAATATCTATAAAAGTCTTGCATTTTAGAGAGAAGTCCTGGAAGCGCAACCCTAGTACATTAGGCGCTCTACTTGATATGATGTAGCTGTTAAAAGAAGGAAAATAGATATAGGTATATAAATAGCACTCAGGTGTAGACGCACCACTTGATAATGAGGTAACGTGTCAGTGTTGTTATCTGAGCTTGAGACCACAGTTTTGTAACGAGCTCTCCCGCTTTTTTATTATGTCCCTGGGCCACAGCTTGCTCCCTGTGGTAAGTTTCCTCAGCCCTGGGAGAAGCTGTCTGGATTCTGGCTCTGGGGTAATTCTGCGCTCCATTGTTGAGTATAATCACAGGTTCGCTACCCACATGATTACAAACCATTCATGGAAGTGGGATGTTCTGAGTCACTGGAGTAATTGGAATGACATTTGGAATGTGCACACTGAAAAAGATTTTGTCACCATACAATACATATTTATCCCATGCCCCCCTGTCTTGATGTGAGGGCCCTTTGCTCACCTCCCAGCTTGTGAAGAGCCGTGCGGTGCCCAGAGGTGTACATTTCACCGTGTTTGCTAGTGTGTGTGTGTGAATGGTCTGCCGCTTTGGAATGTGCTTCGGGGAAAGTGTCTTGTTGGTGACTGCGGGTCACTTTGGTTTCATGAAACATTAATCAGCCTTGGGCCCTTTATTTTAAAAATGGAATGATACCTGCCCTGCTTAACTTACAAAATGTGTGTGTACAAGTGAGAAAATACAGGTGAAACCATTTTTGTGCAATAGTTGGCAAAGCTAGGATGTGATTTTATAGGGTTAGGAAATTTAACATCTGATGATCTCAGAAGCTAAGAATGAGGTCCTTAAAAAAAAATCAGAAAAATGTTTGTTGCTTCTCTAAAAACTTACAGTTTGATGTAGAGTACTGTCACTTTCACCCATTGACATGGAACGTAAAGTTTGAATTATATTGTCTTTGGAAACAAATGATGGCAACTAATTAAGTATAAATAGGAGAAACAGAGGGAAATATTCAGGACTGAAAAAATAAAGTACGAATGTCATATTACTCATGACACAGTGACAGACCTCCTGTCTGATTCTTTGGAAAGTTCAACTGAAGGCTGTAATTTTCACTGTTTATTAGTATTGGAAAATGAAATCTTGAGGGTTAAGGAAGGACTCAATTTTTAAAATACTACTACAACATAAAATTATGCTAAGGTATCCTAAAATGCATATAGCTTAATTGGACAAATAATTAAATTGATTTTTGTCTTATGTCCAAAAAGTTACCCTGCTGTGGGTAATGTCATAGGTGAAATATTGTGAGGCAGTTACCTTTTAACCTGAGATTCAATCTCAACAACAGAAGCCAGTATTCCGTGGTCAGGGTGGATACTAAAAGCCATCACGCTGCCAGGTCTAAGTGGTATATTTAGTGGGGTCTTAGGAAAACAGCTGAAGGGTGTCTGTCAGGCAGCATAAGCATCTGTTCCATATTTAGGAGAGTGATGAAAACATTATGTATCCATTTCAGTAGATGAGAAAGTATTAGAGATCAGATTTGGTTGTATTCCAGTCCCTTTGCTGTGCTCCAGGTGAAGGATGGCAGTGAGGTGCTCATGTGACCCTAGGTTACTACAGAGTTCATCTGGCACATTTTTATGTACAGCTTTAAAAAAGTATATATAAAGTTCTTTTATTTATTCATTTTAAAATGTCATTTCTTCTGTTTTGGCTGTTATGTTCTTGTTTATTTTCTGATTTTCTGATTCTTTTTGTCCTTCCTTCATCTTGTCAGACTTTTCTGTATTGTTACCTAGTTTAAAATCTTTTCCTCTGGGTTTAACTTTTTAACAGTTTTTTACAAATTTTATTTTTTTATTGGAAAACTGTAAAAGTATAGGAGGCAGAATGTTATGGTTACTATCTATGTTTTATCTGTCACCTTCAACAGTTTTCAGTATTTACCAGTCTTATTTCATTCATCCATTTATTTCCTTTGCCCTCCATCCCTCCCTCATTTTTCATCTTCCTCCCTCCCTCCCTTCCTCCTTCTCTCTTTGTCTCTGTCTCTCCCCCCCGCCCCTTCCCTCCACTCTTCCCTTCCTCCCTCCACCCTTCTCCTTCTTTTGTTTTTTCTTTCTTTCTCTGGATCATTTAATAATGAATTCTGTATGTCATATGTTATCCATAAGTTTTCTGCAATATATGGAACCTTAAAATAGAACCATGATATTGTTATTGTGTCACCAAAATGAGCCTGTAAGTCCTTACTTAATATCATCAACTATCTAGTCCATGTTCAATTTTCCTTGATTTTTTTTTAATATAAACCTTGTTCCTGGTTACCTTATTTGGCATGTGGAATTCTATGGACAGACACTTACATCACCAGGAAATAACAATCAGTTTCTCTGTTCCTATACAAAATGGTTTTGGTTTTTGTTCTGGTTCTACATGGGTGATAACAGATACTAATGTGAATGGTCTAATTGATTATTAAGGGTGATATTTGTTTGATTCTGCCAAGCGCTGAGCGTCTGTTTCAGGGTAATGCGTTGCTTTGACATTAGTTCTTAGCTTGAAGGTTTTCAGACCATGGAAGTCAAGTGAAGTCTGACCTCAGTCCCATGTGAAGGTCAACTTGAGTTTACAAGTAGTCAGGGAAGTGACTTTTTACCTCCTCCTCCCTTGGGCCAAAGTCAAGACAGACATGTTTCAAATTTCCTCACAGACCACTTTCTCTGTGGGGCCGATTGCATGCTGGTTTGCCCTGACCCTGAGGTATCCTCTTTGGTTATCAGCTCCATGCGCCAGCCTTCTCCTGTAAGGCCTGTGTTGGTGGGTCCCAGGCCCTGTGCGGACGTCACAGCATAGTCACAGAATAGTCCCTGGTCAGCTGGGGCCAACCTCAGAGTTTCCACGTTGGCATCTGGAGGAGTCTTTGTTTCCTGCCTGGTCAGTGGTGCATTTAAAAAGATAACTTCTTCCCCTTCAGCATTTTTCTCTTTTAGCAGGAGAATTGTCCAGAGGACTTGCCGTATATTACCATGTATAATGTACACTTCTGGGCCCAAATTTTTGAGGGGAAAAAAACAATGCACATTATACATGGGTAGTACCTGAAATACCTTGTATCTGTTCTTGTGTTTTGTAATTATTTGTTCCATAAAATCTCTTGTACCATAATATGTTAAAAAATAAATGCTAAAATTTCTTTATAATGTAAAAAACAAGTATCTAAACATAATAGTTGAATTAAAAAATTAAAAGATTTTTTTTCTGAAAAGTTTGGGCCAAAAACATGGATGCACATTATACATGAGAGCACATTATATATGGCAAAATACGGTAGTTCGCCATTCTTTCAGAAAGGGAGATGCACATATATTTTTGTAATCAGAAGGAAGCAAGATCTGCTTCCAGTGGGAGAATTGAAGGAATCTTAGAAGTTAAACTTTTCTATTTGCTGTGAAGGCGTAGCTGAGGTTGGTGTCCATGAAATCCTGCCTCTCTTGACTTGTTACCGCCCATGTTCCTAGAACTTGTCACAAAAGCAACTTCGTCTCCCTGTAGGAAATGTTCCCTTTCTGTTGATAATTGTAAAATTACTTTTATTGCCTTGACTAGAAGCCTATCAAGAACCAACCTTCCCCGGTCACAGCAGCTTTGCCATTGATGAATATGTTTAACTTGTCTATGTCTCTTTTCTCTTTCTCTCTCTCTCTTTCTCTTTTTTTAATCTTTACCCAAGGATATGTTTTTTGATTTTAGAGAGGGAGGAAGAGGAAGAGAAAGAGAGAAACATTGATTGGGTGCCTCATGCACATGCCTCCACCAGGGGGTCTGGGGCTTAAACCTGCAGCCGTTGGGCGTACGGGATGATGCTCCAACCAACCGAGCTGCCTGGCCGGGGCTCCTCTTCTTCTCTCATGTCTGTATTTCCCACTCTTTATTTATGTGTTCTTAGTTTAAAATGATTATTTTTAAAATTTTGCTAGGGTGCCTCAAATCCTTTCTGGAATGTAGTGAAGAATAAATGCAACATTATTTTCAGCATCTCAGCTTTCCCCTCTTCCTTTCTCACCTGTGTCTCCAGTTCCATCATCATCATCTTCCTCCTCCTTCCCTTTACCTTACTATACCTCAGTAAAACCGGAGGTTTATTGTTTGCCATAGGTCCCGATGGTTATCCTAATGAACCCCTTGTTGACCCTCGACAGCCCATCCAAGCCAGCTGCTGAGAAGCCAGTAGTGGAATTGTAACACCCACAGGACACTGGAGCTTCTTAAGAGTGACATGAATACACCTTTAAAACTTGACTTTCACAAAAGAGCAGTTTCTTCATTAAAAGTAATCAAGATAATAACATACCTTAAGATAAGCCTCTCAATGTGATAATTTGTAACTAGGAGAAAATAATGAAGAATACTTGAACTTTAATAATATCAGCTGCTATTATTGTTATTATTTAGTCAAGTTGGGACTTCATGTCAGTTCCTGTGGTTCCCGTTTCCATCTTAGCTGTCTCAAAACAACTGCCTCGCTTGCTGCCTCACCCACACTTGTATCTGTAATTCTTGCTTTTCTGGTATTAGAATCAACAAGATACCCCCTGCTGCTGGAGACTTGAAAGTGGAAGTGTGGGGAGGGGTCCACAGCAGTCTAGCTTCCTTGTTTTTTCCTCAAATAAAAGAAAAAGACACAGATTGCTTAGTGAAGGAATTTGTGGTCGCCTTTTTTCCGCCGCCTCCTAATTTACTATGGATTGAGATGTTCCAAGTAGTTTTCATAAGGTTCTTGATCTCATTTTACAAATGAGCACACTGAGTCTTGGAGAGGCAAATAATTTGCTTGTGGACATCTAACCTGTGACAGAGTTGAAATCTTAACCCAGGAACATTTAACTTCTAGACACACAAACATTCTGCCTTCACCACTATGTTATACTCCTACCACATTAAAAGGAAATGTCAAGTTCAGTTTATGTAGTATCTTGGATATTTCATATGCTAGCCTAGCAAACGCATGAAATTTACAGGTGATTTTGGTCTACTTTTGATCAGAATTCCAAACGTATCTACAAGGGTAGGCAAAAGTAGGTTTACAGTCGTGACTGCGTGAGACAGTTTATTCAGCTAGTGTAATTATCATAACCTGTGTGTCTCTTGTCCTACGAATAACTTGTGCCCACTGCTGTATGGAGGAGAACAAGAGCTGTCCTGTCTCTTAAAACAGATGACATTTAACATTTCCATTTTTATGAACGTGGCATTTTCATCCTTTGCCCTTTATCTTTGATCAAGTGTGTTCACATGTATTTTCATTTGATCCTGGCCGCTGCGTGGGACAGGTGGCTGAGCAGGTGCGTGATTCCTCCTGACCTTCTGCGGCTGCGATGGCCTTCAGGGAATGAGGTCAAGGGGACATAAATGCCTTCTCATGCTGGCTGCAGTTTTTAAACTCTCCTTGCGTATCAGGTTTCAGGAATACTTTTTTAGTCCACTGTAATTTTTCATGCACTGTTATTCCTTTTGTGTCCTTTTTGTCACTATGAAGGATTCGGCACGGCTTCCGGAACCCAGCTACACAAGCATACAACATTTTATGATCGCCTGCTCTAGGGAAGTTGTTGGCATCAAATCTTTTTCCTTCGTTCGTAGCCATTTAGAATGAAATAATGAGAAACACAGCTTCTTCCCAGCGTAGACGATCACTCTAGTCAACTGCATACCTTCTTAGAGATATTTCTTTTCCTCACATTTCATTAACACCTTAAGTTCCATCACCGGCATTACTGAGTGAGCCATGGAAGCAGTCCTTTGATCCTATAATCATCATAGTTCTCAGTAGAGATCTGTATCTGTCAGGTCTCATGTTGCATCTTCATAAAGTTTGTACATTTAAAACTTTAAAAAAATATAAAACCACAAGCCTGTTGGTAATTGTGCTAATCTGCAAATGCTTTCTTAGAGTAGAATCAATGTTTTCCCTGTAGGTTTTCTTTTTAGTTTTTGTAGCCAAATGGGGATCTCTTTCTGAGAGCCAGAGAACCTATTTTACCACATCATCTCTTTTACCCTATTTATTTTTGTATAAACATTTGAAATACCAACAGGTAAAAATAATAAAGAAAAACATAGCCAAATTATTTCAGCTTCCCTGAATTCCTACTGAGGGGTGGTGGCTATTTTTCTAATTGCTGAATACACAGCTGATTGACATATTCAGTAATTGACATATTGGAGACACTACCTTTCTTCATAACTTCATAACTTCAGAAAGAGAGGCTTCTGTTAGAATGAAATTCAGCCCCGTGCCTGTTTGTTAGAAATCAGTTGTTGGGTGCTAGTGTCCCATGAACTGTGCCGGCAGGCTTGGGGTTCTGCAGAGCTGCATTATAGACTCTTCCTCATTTTCTGGTCAGTCGATGCTGTTAAATTCTTGAGTTTGAGGGAAATGCCATTTGAGAATGTGCGAGTCCACTAAAATAAGGTGTTTGAATTAAATTTCATTACTCTTCCTTATATATTACTTGGCTCATTTCCTTCATTGCAGTTATAATCTAAACTACTTTTTAAAAATGTATTTTTTTCATATTTTCTTCACTAGATTATAAGCTCCAAAATAGAGCTCGTGTGTTTTTCCCAGTGTTTAGGACAGTGTCTGTCTCACCTTGGTCCTTGGTAAATATTGAGTCAGTGCGTGAATGAATATTGTGTACCTATCGGCTTTTATTCCAGGGGTTATACCAGTGAATGAGGGTAGGACATTGAGTTGCCTCTGCCCTCAAGGTGTTTATATTGAAAATAAAATAAGAATTGTGAAACATTTTATGAAGGGCAGTGCAAAGTCAGTAAACTGATTTTTTAATTGGATGAGGAGAAGGAGGCAGTTTTGCTGGGTGCATGGGTCCTGTTTATGTATGAACACAGATTTTAAAAAATGCCCCCTTTCTAACACTTCTAGAGCCTGCCGCCTTCAGAGAGAGCCTGTATTGTGATTCAAGTGGTTAAAAAAAAAAGGGCAATAAAATTACAAGGAGAGCTCACATTTTTTGAGTGCTTGCCACATGCCAGGCATGGTTTCAGGAGTCTTATGAGTGTTATTGGAACTTAATCTGCACAATATTCATAACATATGGGATTGTTACTGTCCACATGACACAAATAAAGACAGGTACGAGAGGTTAAGTGGCCAGCGCAGCCAGGGGTCAGGGCTTGAAGTCCTGTCCTTCACCCCAGTTCTTACTATAGTTATTTCACCCCGTGGTTCCAGGGTTGGTATCGGGTGGATTTCCACAGGCCCATCTTTGTGAAGGACTCTGGGTGGGATAGACTGAACTTTTTCCAAATCCACCTCAGCCCTCGTAATTATACATCCTGGGAAGATGAGTGGATGCAGAACGGGTTGGGAAGCTCACCTGGGATCTTCTGCGATGATCAAAAGACTTCGACTGAAACAGCCTTGGCTTTCTGGCTTGGTTGTGGGGCCTCGCACCTTTGATGCTTATGTCTTGATTAGAGAACCAGCCAGTTTCTAAATCCTCTGATCCCTCCCCTGGAATGCTTTTGTTGTGTTCTTTCTGCTGTAGATCTCCTCAATACCAACCCCCCTTGACACCGGTCTGTCTCATTAGCCCTGCACGTTCAATGCATTTCTCTGACATGGGACTTACTAGTCGGTGTCAACAACAGTCCATGGACATTTCACTGGCATTGCTGACAGATGCTTACATCTGTAAGTTATGAACTGAGCTAATGAAAAGGATTCAGTAAATGAGTTCTTTTCATTAGCTCATTTTATAACTCAATAAAACAAGCAACGCAAAAGTGAGCACTTCTTCGGATCCCTTCATTCACGGCACTGGGTCTTAAAGGGAAGGGCAAGATCATTCGAGGTAGAGAAGCTGCACGTGCAAAGACACGTGATGGCCCTGCATAGATGGGGGACCTCCTGTGGCTGGACACATCTAGAGTTTTGAATAGCCCTGGATACTAAAGAACTGGCAGTGGATATTTCTTAATAATATACTAAGCTAACACTTACAAAGAAGTGTTCATAAATGGTTTTCCACACAAAGAGTTTAGATCTTTTTATTTTGGGATCGTATGATGTTTTTTCTGTCCTCTTGCTTAATATGTCTTTTCCCCCCTTTTCTATTTGAGTACCACTGGCCAGTCTTTTCATGAATGATTTGGTGGTTACTAAGTGCACTGTTTTGACCTAAATATTTCCAAACGGCCACAGTCAAATGTGCAGTTATATCCACAGAGGGTTTCATGGGAAGCAAGTACAGAGCCTGTTAGGTTTTCATTGGAAAATTTAGACTATGGGCCTATCTCAGTGTCTTGTGAGGATTTCGATGGCGTAAAGCAGCCTGTGTTAGACGCCTCCTTTCTCTCCTCATGCCCGCCAGCTCGGTGACGTGATGGTCGACATTGCGAGCAACATCATGCTGGCCGATGAGCGTGTCCTGTGGCTGGCGCAGCGGGAGGCGAAAGCCTGCAGCCGGATAGTCCAGTGCCTCCAGCGCATCGCTACCCACCGGCTGGCAAACGGAGCGCATGTTTATTCCACAGTAAGCACAACGTTATTCTACAATCTAAGAAAAGAAGTTGTAAGCTTAAAAAAAATTTTTTGAAGGGACCTTGTCCATATGTGCTGCTTAGAATGTTGCCTAGCCTGTGGAGTAGGCATGGACTTCACCATCCTTACAAATGGAAAGAGCAGTGTGGTCCTTAGAGCTTACAGTAAATGCCGTCATCTTCCTGCGATGAAAGGCTAGTCACTTCCCGTGCCCTCTCTCGTGAGGTTCGGTGGTGGGAGTGGCGCTGGCAGTCCTGCAGACGTGGGTGTGGCAACTGGGTCAACCTGTTCTGCCTTTGGCGGACCCCTGAGTTCTGTGTCACTCTTGAATTTCTTAAAATTTGGGGGGGCAGGTACCATCTTTTTCAGTGATTTTCTGGCTTAATTTGAACATCTGTTCATCTACTACTATTTAGACTAGCACTTCCATTTCTTTTATTTTTTTATTTTTTAATTGAATTTATTGGGTGACATTGGTTAATAAAATTACGTGGGTTTCAGGTATACAATTCTGTATGACATCATCTATGTATTGTACTGTGTGTTCACCACCCCAAGTCAAATCTCCTTGTATCGCCATTTAATCCCCCTCGATCCTCTCCTGCCCCCCACTTTCCCTCTGGTAATCACCATACTGTTGATGGCGTATTCTGTGTATATGAGGGCTTTTTTTTCTTAATCCCTTCACCTTTTTCATACAGCCCCCCAACCTCACCTCTGACAGCGTCAGTCTGTTCTCAGCATCTATGAGTCTGTTTCTATTTTGTTAGTTTATTTTGTTCAGTAGATATCACATATAAGTGAAATCATATGGTATTTGTCTGTCTTTGACTGCTGTATTTCACTTAGCATAGTGTTCTCGAGATCCATCCATGGTGTTGCAAAGGGTAAGATGTCCTTTTTTATGGCTGAATACTATTCATTGTGTAAATGTACCACAGCTTTTTTTATCCACTCATGTTTTGATTGGCATGTGGGTTGCCTCCAAATCTTGGCTATTCTAAGTAATGCAGCCACAAGCATAGGGGTGCATTAGATTCTTTCAAAATAGTGCTTCGGGTTTCTTTGGATATATTCCCAGAAGTGGAATCGCTGGGTCATAGGCAGATCCATTTTTAATTTTTTGAGGTAACTGCACACTGCTTCCCACAGTGGCTGCACCAGGCTGCAGTCCCACTGGCAGTGCACTAGGGTTCCCCTTCCTCCACATCCTCGCCTGCACTTGCTGTTTGTTAAGGATGGCCGTTCTGACAGGTGTGAGGTGATATCTCATTGAGGTTTTAGTGTGCATTTCTCTGATCTTTAGTGACATTGAGTATCTTTTCATTTGCCATCTGTATGTCAGTTTTTTAATTTGCCAATTTTTTAATTTGATTATTTTTTGGAGTGTTGAATTGTATACATTCTTTATAAATTTTGAATATTAACCCCTTATCAGAGTTAATATTCATTGTGTTATTGAGAATATGTTCTCCCATTCAGCTTCTTCCAATTTTCTGAGTACAAGTCTTTTACATCCTTGGTATTTTTCCTAGGTATGTTTTTTTGGGGGTGGTGCAATTGTAAATGGAATTGTTTTCTTAGTTTCCCTTTCTGATGATTAATTATCAGTATGTAAATGCAATTGATTGCTGTGTAATTATTTTGTATACTGCTACTTTACTGAATGTGTTTATCAGTCTTAGTAGTTTTTTGGTGGGATTTTAGGCTTCACTGTATACTGTGTAATGACAGAAGCACCTTTGGAATGAATGTGTAAAATTTTTACCTGTGCAGCTTAATGCAAAGAGCTAACTAGATCGTGCTGTAAGAGAAAAAAGTGAGTATGTCATGAAGTGCTGAACAAGGCGACTTTTGAGTGTATCTCCCAAACCTCTCTTACTCTTCCTATACTGTGATCATTAACAGGGGTCCACCGATATCTCTAGCTGATTTTTTTTTTATAACACACCTCCATTTTTAGCTCGCAGTTTTCTGCAAAGTGCTCTTTAAATTATTTTTAATTGACTTTGAATTTGTCTGATCCTCCACATTTCATGACCTGTTCTTTTTCCTCTTCACTGATATCTCTATATTTTGGGACATTCTTTTGTTTCCAGCATCTTTTTTTTTTTTTTTAAATCTGCTATCTATCGACAGAGTCATTGTTCTGTAAGAACCTGGGTTCTTTGTTTAGTAAGAACCTGAGTTCTCTTTTAATTTATGTACTGTGCTGCATGTTTGAAAATTCTTTGAAAGGGCCTTTTTTTCCTCCATTTAATAAATGTTGTATAACGTCTGTTCCGTTGACTTGAAGTATTCGCCCAACATTGCTCTGGAAGCATATGTCATCAAGGCCACCGGCTTCACCGGCATGACATGTACCGTGTTCCAGAAAGTGGCCGCCTCTGACCGCACAGGCCTTTCTGACTATGGGAGGCGGGATCCGGATGGAAACCTGGATAAGCAACTGAGCTTTAAGTGCAATGTTTCAAATACATTTTCAAGTCTGGCACTAAAGGTATGTTATAGTCTATAATCACTTAAGACCTTTTACAGTTAGAATAGGATACTCAAAATGTTTTACTTTTCAAAATAAACTTATTAAAAGTTCTTTTGGGGGAGAGGATATTGATACTCCTTTTGCTGTTGTTTTAAAAATGAATTCAGACCAGGAAGGGACACATGATGACTTTCATGAGCCTAGGCATTTTTGCCCTTTGGACTCCTTTCTCTACACAAAAATTATCAAAGTTCTATTTTATGACTGCAGTGGTAAGAAGATATATTTAATATGTAACATATATTAATATTACATATTAAAACATTTTCTTTGACCTTAAATTTCATTTTTATTGCTCCTGATTTTAAAGATATGAAAGCATTTTGTGCCCTTGGCTTTGTGCCTATTGGACCTAATGGAAAATCGGCCTTGAGACAGGCCAGTTAATCAGGCAACCTGTATATCAAGGTTTTTGGCAAGGAAGTCAAATGTGATATGTCTCAGAAAGTGTGTGTGTTTATTACAGCGAGCAAAATTAAAAGCATTGTTATTGATTATTAAAATTTGGGGTTTAGAAGTGTTTCATTAAACTACATTGAAGCAAATAGTGGGGATATAATACAGCCCGTAATGGAACCACATTTTTTCCTTTGGCTTGGTGTGGCCATGTGTAACTGTGTGCTCTGTGGATTTTAATTACTAAGTATTTTCTTTGTTTCTGTCTTGTTTCTGAAGTATATCACAAACGAGATTGCAGTCACTTTGATGTCTGCATAGTAATTCATAGGTGTTAGCTATGTGAATAAACACATTCATAGGTGTTAGGTGTTGATGCATTGTGGGAGCTCAGCACATATTGAATGAATGAATGAATGAATGAATGAAAGAAAAATTAATGTATTTCGTCGTTTCTTACCTGGTGACCTCCTTAGGAAAAGCCAATTTGCTGAATTTAGAAAGAGCCTGTTTCCGCCACCACGCAAGACAATCTGAACTAGGTCAGAATGTCTAAGGGTCATATATTTACTTGGTTCCATATACTCGGAGGAAAAGTGCCAAGAGGTATTTGTTATTCTTTTCTCTGTGAGAGCACTTGGCACACTCAGCAATGGTACTGTAGACCTGCTCCTTTCCTTACTACATTTTTTATTGGTAAAAACATACCACAAAAGGACTAGAGACAGCATCACAGATAATAAGCCCATGAGAGAAAGGTGTGTGTGTTTGAGGAGCACTTAAAATTGAAGAATCCTTTTATCTTAAGGGATTGTAGTTGGTAGAAAAGGATTTAAAAATGTTGAAACCCTATATATTTAATCAGTTTTACAACCTACCCCTCTGGGTCAGAAAAGTTCCTACTTTCCTGAAATAGAAAGCTTTAAATCAACACTCAAATTTGTCAGTCTTGTACTATTTTATCCATTTAACATCATCTTGTGACCAGAAACCAAGGACACATTATACTACTATTCATGTTTCATGTGTGGACATGATTAAACTGAGTGAAAGAGGAATGTCTTCTGTGACACAAAATTAGTTATATTTTAATGTAAATAGCTCAAAATTCTTTAGCACATTAACAGGAAAGTTTATATTTTAAACTTTATCCTAGGACAATTTATATGCTTTGTGTGTGTGCCTTTTTTTTAAGTCCCTTGAATATAGCACTAACTAGACAACTTGAACACCCAATAATTGATTATACTACCCTACAGTGGGAAAATATACCAGCCTAGGAAATTAAGCCCATATAAATGCAGTCCTTAGCAACATAGGAGCCTTACTTGACTTGCTTTCTACATGTTTCTTGAATCTCTCTCTGTTTACTCACCATGACAGCCTGGTTTGGGTGGACTTCAGTCCTATGTTGACCAAAGCATTGTTACCTATTGAGCCTCTATGTTTCCAGAGTGTTCCTTAAAAATTCATCCTTCTCATATAGATTAGCCTACCTGAGGCTGCTATTTGGCCAACATGCACCAATGCAACCATGCCCATTAGTAAATATGAAATACTCCCTGGCCTTTACAAGTAGCTGCTGCCACAGTCTCCTGAGTGGCTCTGCAGCCCTGCTGTCCCTTCTGCTGGGGACATGGCCCAAATGTGTTTGGTGCCTGTAGAGCAGAGGGCATCTCAGAGCCTCCCCCTCTGCAGAGGTTGTTCTGATGGTCAGTGTGTGCATCACTTCAGGATGTTCATATTGTGAACATTATCCTAGGTCTCCCCTACATGGAAATTGACCTCGTACCTCCCCTTATAAACACTTCCTGTCTCTGTAGGCTGGCTTTCGGTTGGCTTCATCATTTGGCATTTATCCCTTGCTCCATGTCTCTTCCTACCTCCTCTTCCTTTTGTCCAATGATGGCAAACTTCCCTCGCTTCCTCCCCCGGCCCCTGGCCATTCTCAGGCCGGGGTCATGCTAATTCATCTGCTGGAAAGTCCTACTCCTCTCCTTCCCTCCCCAGCTCCTTGGCTGTGTGTTAACACCCAACAGAAATGTCACCTTCAAGGAGTCTTCGCTCATTCCCTCCTGTCTATCTTTACATCTCACATCCTTATGTCCTTTATTTCTCTCCCTCGCTCTGCCCCTAACACGTTGCCCATCTCTCTGTCATTACATGTCACCCATGGCGCCAGATGGGTTTCCTACCTCCCGCAGTGGACTGTGAGGATTGTACGAGGGCAGAGCTAGTGCTGAAGTCCCTGAGGATTCCAGCACCTGGCCTCAGGTGTCTGGCCAGTTTGCCATCTGACTCTCAAAGAACCAAATAAAATCGTTTTCATAACCAAGTGCTTTCTTCCACCATCAGTGCCATGATTCAGATATGTTAGCATCATTCATAAAAGCTTTTTAGCAATTTTTGGTGTTTTGAATTTAGCTGTATTGTATCCAGAAAGAACCAGTTCTTTAAACATTTCTTGACTGTAATTTAGAAATTAGTTTTTCTGTACATATTTCCTGTTTCCCTTATGTCAGGTATCTAGGGCTTTAGCCCTGTTGAGGTCCTTTTGATTTCCCAGACCAGTCCTCTGTGTCCTTTTGCTTTCTGCCCTTTTCCGGCCCCTCCCCTGCTGCCCTTCGGTGAGAATTCTTCCTCAGAGTTTGTCACTGCCTGTCAGTCCCGTGGTGCTTCGTTCATTCTCCAGAATAATTAGAGGCTGAGGTGATGGTGAGTTGAGTTTTAGGGAGAGAAGGCAGAGGAAATTGTGACTAAGAATGTGGTCCTTCTGCAGCCAGACAGCCTACGTGCACACCCTGCTGCCCTAGGAAATGGCTGTGCACACTTGGGCAAGTAACCTCTCTCGTGTCAGTCCCTCATCTGTTCCCTAGGAATCGTGAAGTGGTACTTAACTCAAAGGGTTAGTGAGAGGATTAAGTGAGGCAAATGTATAGGCATTTACAGCAGTGCTTGGCACAGAGTAAGCGTGTGAGAAATGTTAGTTCTTCTTCTTATTGTGGTCTCCCTCTAGTTAAATCGTGAATATTTGAGGGCAGTCACCGTGGCTCATTTCGTGTGTCTAGATTCTGCACAGTGCCGGGCACAGAGTAATGAAACATTCAGTAAATGTTGTTGAATAAAAATTAACAGCCATACTTAATTAGCAGTTAAAAAATTAATTCTAAAGGCAAACACAATCCCTGTTAATCTTTAGCAGTGAGATAATCAGAAGACGGTATATAGTTCAAAATGAATCGTACACTGTACACAAGAAAATAATTAGGATGTGTCATTATATTCATCCGTTTAAAACAGAGTGTGTAGCTGGTCAAGAAGCATGGAGAAATTAGTATTTTATTTTTTTAAATCATGTGGCTCTTTGACTCTTCCTAAGTTTATTGTTAGAATTGTATAGACTTAAACAAATTAGGATTTTAGGAAAATTTAATGTATTAATTATACGGTGGTATAACTGCAGATTGTTTTATAAAGAATGATGTTAAAATCTAGAAGTATTTGACTTAACATCACCTACGATACTTAACATTTTCTTCTTAGCTTAATGTCATTGTAAATAGAGAAATATACATGACTTTAGCAAATAAATTTTACCCTTTGTTAGTTTTCAGTATTGACATTAATACTAGAATTGAAGGAGAAAAACCACGATGAGGTTCTAGATTACCGTGGACAGTTAGTTCCTTGTCTGCCTCCCCCGCCTCCAGATAACCGCTCGCCACACGGCGACAGTGATAATGATTAAAATACCACCCACAATTCCATAGCCTTTTGTTCTTGTCATGGTCATGATTCCATTGGGTCCTCACATCTCTTTGTTAGAAAGACCAGTAGCTGTGTTTGGCAGATGAGGCTCAGAGAGGGAAACAAAACGGGAAAGTGTTAGGCAGCTGCGAAGCAGTGAATTGGGGACCCAAGTCCTAGCTCTGCGTTTCAAGTCCCATGTCCCTTTCTTCGTGGGTGCCATGGGAGCTTCTGGTAATAGATATTAGACACCAAAGACAGGTTCTTCCCAAAGGATTTTCAGAGAGATTTTCCTCATTTATTAGTTATAATTCATGTATTTATATCTATATCCATTGCTGTAATCTATACTTTAAAAACAAATATATGTTTAAATGAAATTAAAACCTCTGTGGTCCTTCACTTCAGGCCAAGTAGCAAAAGGCATAATCATGATAAATGTAAAAAATTAAATGAGGTTTTCTCAGTGATTTTTTTAAAATTAGATTTTTAACCTTTCCATAATAAATGATCAACGCTTCTCTCAAAAAATTAAATATACAGGTATTATATTCTTACTATAAAAGTCTAAACATTATTGATACAGCAGAAGTTTTTCTCTCTGGCTCCCCTAGGCTACCCTCTCTCCATCACAGGAAGCTGTAATTATTATTTAGTAATGTTCTTTATTGGACTCCTAAGGATAGGGTGGAAGCCGCAGGTACAGAACAGCCTTGAACGGAGCCCTCATTTCTCAGTGTGCTGTCCATACACCTGCGTGCTGGTGGTGGTTTGTTTTTAATTGTTGTTATTCTTTGATTGGTTTTGTAAGCTTAAACTTACGAAGCAAAAGTTTTTGGACTTCTGGAAATTATAGATGTCATTTTCTTTTTCAGCTCTCTTTTAGAAAATGTTGCTGTGATTTTTTAAGAATTTTGTTTATCCCGAGTAATACGTTCCCAGAGAGCTATGCTTTGTTTTCAACTCATTTTGTATTCAAGGATTTTATAATACTTAAGTTTTAATAAATATCTGGAATATAATGCTTTGTCAGTTTTTTCCCCTTTACGTTGATCTGTTGGTGTTTTCCCTTTTTTGAATGCCTCATTATATATACACTTAAAATAAATTTGTACACTTAACAGGAATTTACTACATTAATGAATGAGTTCATAACCCACCTTTTTCCCTACCAGATTATATTTGTGAGAATAGTAGAAACCTTTTTATGCGTTTTCTTAGGGGAAATATTACTAATATTTTCTTGAAACCTTCAGTTTAAAAGTAAGGTTCAAACTGCCAGCATTCAAACTGCCAAAATGCTTTCATTGAAGAGACATTCGTGGGTATCTGCTGTGTTCCAGGATTGTTCTAAGCATGGCAGTCAAAGACTAATTCTAAAAAGTATTCACTTGTTTAAGCAGAATCTTTTCAAAAACTAAACATGTCACACAGACTTACTAATTTTATAAACAATGGTCTACCTTTATCAGGTACAGCTACCAGGGCCGATTAGTTACATGAGGAGGGGCGTCTAGAAAAATAAATGAGAGTATCTAGTTGGAGGGGACAGTGAGTCACACTGTGATACTGCAAATACTAGTCGTGCCAGAGATGTGTGCAGAATGTTGCATGCGTCCAGAAGAGGGAGCAACTAATTGCAAAAGCAGTAGACTGAGGATTGATGTAATTAATCATCCAAAAAAAAGGGCCTATTTAAAGAGGACTTTGGAAAGCCTTTCTGGTGGCTGCCAGCAGCCTTCCTCATCCTGACCCGTCCTTTACCTTGCCAACACAATTATCTCGCTAAACATCAAATCCGCCTCGTTTGAGTTTGCCAGACAGAAGAATAGTAGCTCATTTCAGCCAGGGACACTGGCGTGTGCAGTATTTACAATGGTATAAAAACAAAAGAAGTCTCAAAAATTGAGAAATCTGATGTGGCTGAACTATATAGGTTGTGGTACAGGAAGTGTTAAAAGCTGAATTTGAGACAGATCTTCATCCAAACGACATGGTATACTTAAGACTTGGGGACAGTATTCTCTAATCATTCAAGAACCAAGATGTTGTTTTAAATTAAACCATATGATCACATTTATTTCTTAAGATGAAATTCCCTTGGCAATGTGAACATAGGGTTGGAGGGAGAGGGAGGTTGGTTGGTGCCAATGGAAAGACTGTGATAAATTCTTAAAATAAAGAATTTTGTTTTAGATACTTAATTATTTGCCTCCTGGGTTTATAGATTTATTTTTTTATTGAGTATTGAATAATTTATAGTTTAAGAATTTCTAATAAAGAAGTCTGAAAAACATTCAGTAATCAGCCAGCATCTTCTGTTGTTCCTATTGGCTACTATGTGTTTCTAAACATAATGTGTTTCTTAGTCTCAGAAAAACTTCTAAAAGAATTTGCTGAATCTAAGCTTCTATTATGTTTGCATAGTTTCTTTCTGTTGCTGTTTGACAGTTTGAATCCATCCTAAATCAACTTAAAGTTCCATAAACCCAAATTAATTATACTCACATTTGTGATATGCTACATTTGTACTTATTTACCAAATTTTGTCATCGTAAAATTGATATAAAGAGTGATCAGAGATTCCTGATCTGTTTAATGCTACCTACTTCAGCAATATATGTTACCATGGGAAAATTCACTCTGGTTTGAAGTTATTTCTTATTTACTTCCTGAACTTTGAAATAAAGTTGCATTTCTCTTTATTTTATACTTTGCTTTGATTTTATGTGGCCTTCAGATATTTCATGGAACTGATAAGTTTTAACTATTAAATTTTATGTATACATTTTAAAAAGTATTCACCATATAATTAGAAAATATTTGCAATTGTCTAAAATATTCTTTGTGGTTTCCACATGCTAATACTAATACGGCAACTTTTTTTTGTTGTTTTTTACATATTTTCAGAATACTATAGTAGAAGCATCTATTCAGCTTCCACCATCCCTGTTCTCACCAAAGCATAAAAGAGAAGTCCGCCCAGCTGACGACTCCGTCTATAAGCTCCAGCTCATCGCATTCCGCAACGGAAAGCTGTTTCCAGCCACGGGGAATTCCACACATTTGGCTGATGATGGGAAACGGCGTACGGTCGTCACCCCCGTGATTCTCACCAAAATAGGTTGCGTGACTCTATTATTCACTGTTCCTTCAACTGCTTACCGTTGTTCCTTCTTGTTTTAATGAGTCACTATAGAAGAAAGATATTGCACAGTACTATAGGTTGACGTTCAGTTGCTCACGAAGTTTGTTTCAGAAATACTTTTATTTCCCCTTTTTCTCCAGATGGTGTGAATATAGACAGCCACCACATCCCCGTTAATGTGACCCTGCGCCGGATCGCGCACGGAGCCGATGCCGTGGCTGCCCAGTGGGATTTCGATTTGCTGAACGGGCAAGGAGGCTGGAAGTCAGACGGCTGCCACATCCTCTACTCAGACGAGAATATCACCACCATTCAGTGCTACTCCCTCAGTAACTATGCAGTTTTAATGGTACGGCAGTTGTTCAATTTATGCATAAATATGAAGTCTCATTTTTTCCATATGCCTAGGTAAGCTCAAATGAAGATTTGTAAAAACACCTTGAACATGGATTGCTCCCTTTACATAAGAGGTGATGTTTGGTATAATTCAGATTATGAAGGGAAGTTGAGTTTGGAGCAAGTGACGTAGATTGCGTTGCATTTGGAATAGGAATTTTCAGTCACTCTGCAAGTGAACCAGTTCACCAAGACTTCGACCTTCAGATCTGGAGACATCTTGAGGTCTGTACAGTCCAGCTCTCAACCCAGGACGTGACTCGAAGCTTGCCCGAAGATAAGCCGTGGAGACCGACTTCCTCAGCCTCCTTTTGAATTAAGAGTACTGGTGGTAATTTCAGTTTAGTCACTGCAAGCAACAGTATCGACACAAATCACGTCTCTTCAATTTTAATGCTCATCAAGCCAGTGTTTTCTGTTATTTATCGTTATTAATGTTTGGTAAAGTCATTATTAATGTGTAAGGACAGGTCTCTTCCTAAATGAACTATTTATATGAATCTGATCCCTGGGCTAATAATTATGAAATCAACCGTGCTAATTTTTATTTTATATTATCGTTAGGATAAGATACTATCATCCTGGACTATCTGTACAAGTATTTAGAGTATAGTGGAAGGAATCCCTAATGAATCTAAAAGACAGTTCTCAGAAATGGCTTGAGGCCAGCCTGGGAGGGAGGACGCCCATGTTTTATTTCTGCCTTCAGCTCTGAATCTGTTATCTAGATAATATTTCATGAAAGCATTAGCTAGTCTTCAAATATGATACATTTTGCTTTTTGTGATTCATTCTTTTCTTGAAAAAAATTAAAGAGCCTTTACCACTAGAAATGATCTTAAAACAAACATGAATTAGAATAGGTTTTCCTCAACTTTTGTTTTTCCCTTTGCTCCTCAATTTAATATACCTTACCTGGCATACCTGTCCAACAGGAAGAGTAAATAGATTATTTAGCAGAGTGTAAGGCTTGTCTCTTCAATGACATCCATTCACGTGCATCCTTCATCCCAGGGGACGATGGGCACAGTCATACTATTTAGACTCAGCCGTGTTTATATAAGTCATTTATCAATTCTGGTTTAAAGTTGTGATGTGTTGATAGTTTAGGAATCTCCTCACATATATAAGACATTTTATTTCTGTTAAGTGTGAGTCTGGTTTCTGTAAATTCACATTTTATTAATTTGTAGTAACCTTTCAGATTAAAGCATGAAGTCTTAATGAAAGTATGAACATTTTCTCTTTCAGTTTAAACGTAGTGTCTTATTCAGGCTCTTGTTATAAAATAACCAGAAATTATGAAGTATTGAAGGAGAAATAATGGAGATACAGCATTGTCAGAAATTTATATAATAGTTAACTAGAAAAGGTTGGGAAAAATAAATGAAAAACAAAGTACACATTAAAAAGGCATTTTATAAGCTTCACTGGTAATGACATGGTACTATACTGTGTGAAACTTATTTTTATTTAATCTAATACCAGTTTAAAGCATCTATTTTTGAACTTCCTAGCTGTTCTTCTAAACTATTTAAATTAGTATAATCCCTTTCCAGAAGAAATAAGCTATTCTTTTATCTTTCATACTTTAATCTTTTAAAAAATGCAATATACAGTTCTTACAAGCTAAAATATAGTACTAAGGTTTTTATTCGTTATTTTCAAAGAATATCCTTTTGCCTTTCTTAAATATTACTGTGCCACCTAGAGGCAGCAATGTGAAATGTACCTAATATTGTTGACAAAGTTATAAGAAAATTAGTATGTGGGATTTTGAGAGTTGCTAATTAAACATTAAAGGCAGTTCAATGAAATCATACCTACTCTCAATTAAAGTAATGTCTAAAATAGAAGAAATGTCTCTTAAAAATTGGAAGTCAATATCTTTTTTTCCTTACCTGACACTATTTTGAGTAATAGATAGAGAACCCTGTATCTTAAAGTATGGTTTTATACAGTAAGTCTAAATTTCTGGGGGGTTTTCTCAGAAAGCCCATAAATTTTTTCCTGATCTGGTTTTAAAGAATTTCCTGATCTGGTTTTATAAATTGAGTCAAAAAGAATATATTTTGTTTGTACGTCTCAAACAGATACCGTAATTTGGTTCAGTAGACATTCTGCCATGACCCATTTTATCCTCAGGTCTCTGTGGGAGCCACAGAAAAAGTTAAAAGTTAAGCAGAAATTGAGCCTGTTTGAATTGGATGATCACAGGTAGCCAGCTGGATCAGGAAGAGCTAGGAGCTGGGCAGTAAGAGACAGAAGAAACTTAAATAGCAAGAAGGTAACGATTAGTGGCAAACCATTTATGTAGTGCTTAATACTTTAATTGGTAATAGCAGTGAAGATAAAATAATCTCTATACTTTGATTTCCCTTTGTTATTGTATTCACCTAGAAATCCATAAAACTAGAGAGCCCTCATTTGTTTTTACATCTCTGTAGTGTTGCTTTATATATTGTTTATATAAAACTTGCTGAGTGAAAGCAAACTTTGGTTTCATTTGCTCTGTAATGGAACAGGGGTGCTAGCCACGTTTCTGTTAAATAGGTACTGCATTCACATGGATCAAACATTTGATTATTACTACACAGTAATGTACGGTGAAAACTTGACTCCCACCTCCCTCTCCCGTCCTCGCATTTCTTTACAAAGTAGGCAACCACTAATATTAGCTTCTTGAATATTGTGGGAGAGAGTTTCAGGTTGATTGAAACAAAATGAATACATTTCCTTCCAATTTTACAGGAAGGTTACATGCTACGAATATTGTTTCAAATCATGCCCTTTTTTTTCCCTATGAAACTACACTTTGTGATGAGGGTGGTTTCCATGGACCGACAGATCCTCAGATGGTGAGACCTTATGATGACATGGTGGTGGAGATGGCAGTGGCGGATTTTCATTCCGCACGTGTGCCAGGCACCCTCCTGGAGCCTCCATATGCAGTCAGTTACTTGGCCATCGTGGACCTTTTGGACCTCATGGAGTCGTTATGCAGTAACTGTTACCACCCTCCCCGCTGCCCGTCTGCAGATGGAGAAACCGAGGCATGGAGAGCTTAAGCACCATGCCCTTATTTATAAATTTAGTTAGTGTTGGAATTGGGATTGGAGTTCTAACTTCAGAAATGTGGACTTCGTAATCACTTTACTCAACCTCCTTTCTCAGATCGTCTCACAGCAGTGTAAACGAGCTCCCTCGTTTGTTTTCGCCTTTGAATGTTATTTTTTGTCCCTACCATACTTTATTGAGATATCCTTCCATTTTGTTTATTTTCAATAATTTGCTTATACAGTATTATTTTGCACATTTAATAGAAAATCTGCAGGATAAATTCTCAAGTGGAATTGGTAATCAAAGGGGGACCCTCATTTTTCTCTTTTTTTGTTGTGAAATTGAGATACTGAGCAGAATGCACAGATCTTAAGTGTATGGCTTGCTGATATTTTTCCATTGAAAACACACATTTAGCTACTGTCAGAATTGAGATTCTACTTAGAGCACTCGGTAGCTCCCCCATGTTTCATTCTAGTTAACTCCCATCCTCATCTGAAGAGAGACGCACCCTTCTGATGCTGATCACAACAGATGATTTTTGCTTTATATGATTAGAATTGCACAGTATGTACTTTCTTGTGTCCGGTGTCTTTCCCATGACTTATGTCTGTGAGATTTATCATTATTTTTGCAAGTAGCAGCATTCTTACATAGTAATCCGTTATATGAAAATACCCAAACGTGTGCATTCTACTGTGGATGGACATTTGAGCTGTTGCTAGGTTCTGGCTCTCAAGAAAATGCTGCTATGATTATTCATGTACATGTTTTTTGATGGAATGAAATTGCTGGATTGTAGGTTATCCCTATCTTTAGAATTAGTAGATAATACCTTACAGTTGACCAAAGTGGTCATGTTGGTTTTATGGTCTGACCCATAATGAGGGTTAGTTGCTTCACATCCTTGCCAGTGCTTAGTATTCTAACTCTTTAATTTTAGTCTTTGGTGCTGGTGTTATGATATATCATTGTGGTTTTAATTTGCCTTCCTCTGCTGACTCATGATGCTGAGCACCCCTTCAATTTCTTACGGTCAGTTTGGGTATCCTTTTTTTGTGACATTCTTGCTCAAGTCTTGCCATTTTTAAAATTATGTTTGACCTTTTTTCCTTTGGACATACCGCTCTATATAGGTGTATAGCATAATGACTTGAAACACACACACACACACACACACATTTTTTTTACTTCGCATCCTGGTGAGATTAGAGAATTACTAGTTTATAATTATCCTTGTTATTGATAGGATACTAATGAAATCTTTAAAACTGCCAGTGATTTTATATATAGTCATTCTCAGGCTAAAAATACCTTGGAAGTATGTGACTCTCTGTCAAGGAGACAAAGATTTTCAAGTCTCCTTTCCCTTATTTGGGTCCTCAATAATACTCATCTTTGTGATTTTTGAGCACACTTGCAAATGTTCTAATACTACTGAATGTCTCTGGACAGCTTTACTTTTTGGCTCCTCGCTGTTATTTCCTTCGACTGTACTGGATAGGAAGAGGAAGAGTGACTAAGATCACTGTTTAGCTTAGTGACGGGCTGTTGTCCTGCAGACACCGGCGGCAGAGACTGTCTGACACTGTGCTTCTGTGACTGCCTCTCACTTTTTCTTCTCACGGGTGTCTCCTAGTGGCCATTTTTGGACAGTGCATTTAGTAATGTGTTGGTTATAGTAGCACAAAACCTATGTTTGTTTACTAGTATAATTAAAAATGACTTTGATTCAGATTTCAGCTTTAGCTCTTTTTTTGAGCTCTTTAACATCTTTCCCATCCCAATTTTCTCAACTGTCTTAAAGAGTCTTATAGTCTCAAGAATTCTGTGTCACCAGGACAGGTTTTTCGTATCTTACTTGTTCTCTCTGTACCAGGGACCTGTAAACGCCAGCAAACGTGGGACCCACAGGCCCAGTTTGGTCATTGCTGGGTTTTTTTGTTTGTTTTTGTTTTTAATGCTGGAAAACTAAGAGTGATTTGAAAATTGTTATGGTCAGTGGCTAATAAGTACCTGCATAGTAGCCTTGGCTTGCCTCTTGGCATGCAAAGCCTAAAACATTTACTACCTGTCACGGGTTCTCTTGCACTGGGGCAGGTCAGTTTGTTGTGACAACCAGGAATGTCCCTGGAGAAGCAGTGCCCTCTGTGACTGGCGATGGAGGACTTGTGCTTTCCTCCAGGCGTGACTTTGAATTCGTTGTCACTGCCCTCTGATTCAAAATCCAGTTTCTTTCTTGTACTGTGTCACATTCATTTGGCTTTGGAACATTTTTGTTTGGAATATTTGGCTTTGGAACATTTGGAACTCTTTTAAACATGAGTATTACATACAATATATAATACATTTTGGGAACTGAATGGGATCAGATAATATCCAGGTACCTCTGTTGTGCTACACTCTGCCAAGGTCTGTGGAAGGCACGTTCACACACCCTCCTCAGACCCTTACCCCAGACCTGACGGACATTGGTGGTGTCTCCAGGTGTCACTGCCCCAAAATTACACAGCTAGCAAGAAAGTGACCATGTGTTATTGAACAGTTCCCAGAGGAATGTGAATAGCCTATAGGCCAAATCCTAGGTATTAGAAGTTTATTCTCTATTATTCATTCTGCACTGGAATAGACACAGGAATTGAGGGAGAATGTGTCTACTCTTAACTAATATCCAACTGGTTCTCATTGCCCCAGTTTTGTTTTTTTTTTAAATTTTTCCCCTCATAATCTGGACTGTCATGAGAATGAAAATACAGTGAGACCACATACCACAGACTAATCTTGTAAGCATCTCACAAGGGCCAGTTGTTCCCAATTCCTGGTGATAAGACTGCTTCTCTTGTATTTTCCTTTTTAAGAGGTTTTGCTAGAATGTGTTTGTGTTCTTAGTTTACACACTGTCAGCCCTCAAGGGCTGTGACTACATTCTGCATTTTCCTGAATATCCGGAGCTTGGCATAGCTGCTGGTCACGGCGGGCACTCCCTGACCGTTTGTCAGACACGCAGACGCATCCCAGGTTTGGGGCTCATTGCAGTGCAGGGGAGCACGAGTGTTCCGTGTTGTGCCTTCCGTGTCCCATTAACTGACGTTCGTCAGGCTCTGGGGGATCTCTGTTCATCACCTGGGACAGTGAGGGACTCATTAAGATGTTCCGGTTTGATCCATTTTGATCTATAATCATATATTGCCACTTTGCAATTCTGTCACGGGCAGATTTGCCCCTTTCTTTCTGACACCATTGAGGCCATCTTCCGTTTTCCTGTCTGTCATCTGTTCACATCTGTTTTCCATCCGGCCTTCCTCCTCTCAGGTCTCAAGCGTTCAGAGTCCATTGGCAAAGATAACTTAGTGGCGGGGGGTGGGGAGTCTACAGCTTTGACTCCTGCCACCCCCGTGCTCTGGCACAGTGGCCAGGGCCAGGGCTGGAGGCTTCTTCCCAACCTCCGCTGGTCCTTTATAAGGAAGGGAGCCTTAAGATGTCTGTTTCCTTTTTGGAGGTGCTGTCTACACTGTGTGGGGGAGCACAGACTTGGCAGCCACCCTCCTCTTCATCTAATCCTCAAGGATTTAACCTCTTCGTGTGTCAGTTTTTCAGGCTAAATATAGGCCAACCCTATATCTAGCTCCTGGGGTTACTCTGTGTAAAGTGCTTGCACAGTGTCCAGATTATGGTCAGTGCTATGTAAGTGACCTGCTGTTACTGTTCACACTAACTGATTGTTGAACAGTAACAGCAAGTCGCTTACATAGCACTGACCATAACCAGGCTGCCCTTCCCTTCCTCAGACATTATTGTGATCTCATTGTGCCCCCCTGTGACTTTCAGCTCTTCAGGGACAGGAACCACGTCTTATTACTATTATGTCCCCTGCGCCGCACACAGTGTTTGGTCTGTTCGTATTTGCTGAACTTAACTTGACTGCAGGTGATTAGCGAAGCCTAGTTAGGCTTTGTTGATTTAGAGATACTGCTGTCTTCTGCTGTAACAGCTGGTGAACATGGAGAGTGATAAGTGGGCTGAAAGGGCATTAAAGGGTGGAATCTGTAGCCGGGGCTTCTAAGTCACCCACATGTGGGCTGTTGTTCTCTCTCCATTGACCTTGTAGCGCTTTTACGGAGCAAATGTAGGGCAACAGTAGTCTAGGGTAGAACACGAGTGTATGTGCACACACCCCCTATACACACCCACGCATGAATCCCATAAGTATTTATCACAGTGGAAGTTAGGAAAGCTAAGTAAGGTGTGAGGAAAATGGCACAACACATTGGCCCTTGAATAAAATATGAAGAATGTGTGTTCATTACTGGAGAAAATCTCAGTAGTCTACATCCAGAAACATGCAAAACATGCAGCTAGAATGATGCTTTTTTTCCCCTTCAGGATTTGACGGGATCTGAGCTGTACACCCAGGCCGCCAGCCTCCTGCACCCGGTGGTCTATACGACGGCTATCATCCTCCTCTTATGCCTCTTGGCGGTCATCGTCAGTTACATGTACCACCACAGGTAAGAATAAAGCTTGACAAGGGCAGGACTTTGATTTTAGAGGAGTTTATTCCACACTTAATTAAGATAACACTTGAGTTTTATAGTATGCCACCTTTCCAAAGTAAGAACGGTTACTTTGAAAGACCTACAAGCTTTGTTCATCCCGTGAAGTTTGAGACGTAAATAATTCGTACGTAGGATGGTCGGTTCCTCTTTGGTAGCATCCAGTCAGTTTTCTGGGTTTGGATCAGGGAGAGAATGTGGGAGGCCTGGGTGGGATGCCGGGAGGGCGGGCAGGGGAGCAGCCGGGGGAGAGGTCGTGTGCAGACTTGGTACTGGAGAGGCGCCTTCCAGGGCCGGACTGTGCTATCATTTCTGGTGTGTGACTTTTTCCCTGCTGTGATCTTCTTTATTTTATAGATGGCATTTTTAAGAAAGTTTGTGGCATTTAAGCACAGGATATGGTTTTTGTTAATTGGAGGCAGAACACCAGGAACTTTCATTTTATGGTAGGAAATAGTGAACTGAAAGAGTTCACTAAGCAGAAACTTCCTTTATAAGAGGTTTTGCTAGAATGTGTTTTCCTGGAATGTATTTAAGCTGAACCTATATGGCATTTCTTGACATTTAGTTAAGAAACAAGAGGAGATTTTGATATTACAATAAAAGAAAGAAAGAAAGACTTCAACATTTTATTAGGAAAGGCCAAGAAGAAAGGCACTAAGCACTCGTAGGTCAGGGAAATAGAGATTGGCACCTTGCAGAAATCTCTAGGAAGCAAGCAAGTAATTCAGCTGTCATAAGACAGCGGAACTAACAGAAGCTCACATGTTTCTTATTATGGAGAATTTCTTTAGCCTTTAGTGGGGGCAGTAGTTCCATATATGGCTTGTCTTTTTCATGTGTCAAGTGAAACATTAAGAAACTATTAAGTTAAATGACTTCTCAAAATGTACATGTGCTTGTCTCTCTGTCTGATAGTGTTATGTTTTTTTAAATAAAATGCAGCATGTATTTATTTATTTATTTATATTTTAAAAATATTTTATTGATTATGCTATTACAGGTGTCCCATTTTTTGCCTCTCCTTTATTCCCCTCAACCCTATACCGTACCCCTCCCCAGCATTCCCCCCAGTTCATGTCCATGGGTTGTACATAGAAGTTTTTTATACATTCCTTATACAATTCTTAACCTCCCCCTGTCTATTTTGTACCTACTGTTTATGTTTAAGCATTTAAATTTGGCATTTTATACTATTGGAGTTATTAACTTGAAGGCAAATATTGTAGTGACTTGCCTCAAGTGTACTAGCCTGAATATAAATATTCTCCTTTTTCTTTTAACAGTTTGATTAGGATCAGTCTCAAGGGCTGGCACATGCTTGTGAACTTGTGCTTCCACATTTTCCTGACCTGTGTGGTCTTTGTGGGAGGAATAACCCAAACCAGAAATGCCAGCGTTTGCCAAGCGGTAAGTCCTAGTGAAAAACTGAATTGGAAAACAGTAATGATATTGGAAAGTAATTTCATATGTTTCATAAACTACCATAGAAGGAAAATTGTTTCCTTAAAGTTTTTTTTTCCTTTAAGTTGAGCTGAATGTTTGTCACTTAGTCTGCCATTATACTTCAGGTTTTGAATTGTCAGTTCTTAATGGAACATGTGACTTATGGAGCTTGTTTCTTTATCTTTGGGAATTCACCGCCAATTGTTATGTCTGTTATAATGCTGAACATTTAATTTAAAAATTTTACCAAATCCTGACATTGCTGAAGGAGAAACAGCATTTTCTGACAGTAGGATTTTAAAAATTATTTCATTTATTGATGAAAACAATAGGAATAAGAAAAAGATTTAACTGTAAGAGATAAAAAGAAGCTTCCTAAGTGTGGTAAATATGAAGAATTAAAAAATGTCAACTTTTAATTTTAAATAAATTATTACGTATGTAGCCTTAGTAAGTAGTATTCTTGCAGAATAAGTATAAAGAATGAAGCTATTTAATATATGAATAAAATATATGTAAATTTTTATACCCGTATTTGCATATTGTTTTGATGTGTGTGATAGCAAGCAACATAGTAATTAAGAGTTCAGGCTGCCTAGATTTGGATCTCAGTTCTGTTTACTAACTATGTTTTTATGAGCAATTTACTTATCCTTTTTTTTTTAATTGCAACGAGCATATAACAAAATGTATCCTCTTATCAAATTTTTCAGTGTACAGTATCATATTCACTGTTAAGTATAGCAGATCCCTAGAACTTTTTCATCTTGCACGATTGCAACTCAACCCCCGCGGACTAGCAGCTCTCCAGTGCCCTCACCCCCGCTCCTGACAGCCACCATCCTACTTTCTGCTTCTCCATCACCTTGACTACGTAGATACCTCCTTTCAGTGGACTCATGAAGTATTTTTTTGTTCTGCGACTGGCTTAGATCACTTAGCATAATGTCCTCAGAGTTCATTCATATCTTGTGTGTGACAGGATTTCCTTCTTTTTAAATAGCCGAATAATACCCCATTGTATGCATGTACCACATTTCCTTTTTCCATTCGTCTGTCAAGAGACATTTAGGTTGTTTCCACCTCTTGGCTATGTGAATAATGCTGCAAGGTACTTAGGCATATGGATAAGTTTTCATTTCAATATTTAACTTTTCTGTGTCTCTGTTTTTTCACCTGTAATTTGGGAATAATAATTGAGTTGTTGTCAGGTGATATGATTATTTATATAAAAAAGACCCCACAGTAATTTACAGGAAAATTATTTGAAATAATAAGAAAGTTTAGCACAGAGTAAATGTAAGTTTATTATAAAATTTTTTTCTGCTATTCAGAAGTGCAATTAGGAGAAAACTTAATTAATGAGAAGATACCATTTATATGGTATCAAAGAATATCAAGTACTTAGAAATAATAAAAGATGTTCAAGATTTACAGGTTAAGTTTTAATATGTAATAAGAAGACATAAATGGAAAGATACACTAGGCCCAAAGATAGGAAGAGTTACTATCAGAAAGAGGCAGGTTCTTCTATAAATATGAATGAAGAGAACTTTTCGTTCAACTCAACAAATGGTGTTTGTACACACAGCCCCAGGGAAAAGCTCGAGACTGAAAATCTGCCTTCGTAAGTGGAGGGCAGGGACGGACGGAAGAGAGGCCACTGCAACCTGGCAATTAACTGAGTTTCTTAAGGGAAACTTACATATGAAGTGTGCTTTGGGTGGCTCCAAGATGACTTGAGTACTCTCCCCACCGCTTGGCAGGTGCCAAAGAGTTAGATAAAACAGGGCAGGTTGGCCAGCAGTACTGGTATGTGACCAGTCCCAGGTGCAGGAAAATGCCTCCCATGCTTGACCAGGTCTGGACAATGGCCTGTTCCCGGAAGCAGCACGCCATGGGACGTGGGAGAGGGGCTGGCCTACGTCAGCAGGAAAGCACCCGGTACGAGGGATCGGACAGCCTCTGAGGAGGCGGCAGAAGCAATCTCCATTCTGGCGCCCGTCGAGCTCGTGGATCTGGCAGGAATCACATCCTGAACAGTCTCTCTTCCGCAAATGGTTTAAAGATTTATGTGAAAGTAAAGGACCAACGATATCCAGGGCACTTCTGAAAAAGAAGTATAAAGTGGGGAGGTTGTCCTTCTAGTAACCAGGGCTCATTAAGCTAACTGTAATTGAAACTGTAACATTTGGCTTAGGGGTCGTAAGTTGACCAATGCAATGGAGTAGACAGGCCAGAAGCAGACCCGTGTGGAACTTTGATACGATAGGTTGGGTACAGAGAGCCCGCTGTACAGTAAAGGGAGCTGAGGAAAGTCCATTTGGAAAAAAATGGAAATGGATCTATGCCTTGTGCCATATGTTAAAAAAAAAAAAAAAAAAAGTCCAAACATGCCCAAACCAAAAATGTTAAAATTTACATTTGATGATATCACAGTTCTTGGGGTAAGTAGGAGTTTCTTAAATATGACACTAATAACACATTGACTAGAAAAGAGATAAATTTGATTAAATTAAAAATAAGAGCTTTTGTTAAGATTCTTTAACAAAAGTGAAAACACAAGATGGTATTCTCCATACATACTACTGACAGCATTAGAATAAAAATATATTAAAAATATAATCAATGAGAAGACCACCGAAAACCCAGTAGGAAAAAAGAAGACAACATGAGAGTAAATACACAGGGTCTGTATATGCATAAATGGTGTTCCACATCATCGGTGGTCATGGAAATGCAAATTAAGACCACAGATAGCCACCATGTTAAGCCTTTTCTGTGGGCAAAATTCTAGCTTGACAGTGCCGAGCATTGAGCATGTGGACCCACAGGCTCTTTTTATACGTCGTGTGCGGGAATGTGCGTGGATGACTGGGAGGCTGCACCTTCACAAGTCAGGCATCCACATACCCTGGGACATAGCACTCCCGCCCCTGGGCTCAGATCTGGAGTAAGCTTGCCCTTGTGTAACTGCGGTGAGCCTGTGAGTATGCATGTGCATATGAATATTCATAGCAGCATGATACACAGTAGCAAAAACCTGGAAGTGGCCCAAATGCCTATCACTGAGAGAGTGAATGAATAAACTGTGATATTATGCAAGAGTCAAACTAATGAATTACAACAATGCATAACTATGAATATGTCTTAGTATCATAAATTACATTTCCCATTATCTTTTTTTTATAAAGATAGAAGTAACTAAAAGGAAACAGTACACTTTTAATGTAATGTGCAATAAAACTGTCAAAAAAGGAAAGCAAGGGGATGATAAACACAGGATATGAGGTGATGGTTACCCTGGGTGAGGGGGGCCATGTGTTTCGATACGGGTTTTTGTCAAGGTCTTACCTTCTGTCTTGCTGGTAGATTCTTGAATATACATTGTTAAAAATAACTGAGTAAATAATGAATTAAAGGCCAGCCATCCTTGGCCCAGTCATTAACTTGTGCCATGAACCTAAGGCAGATGATTTACTCAGTATTCATATGTGAGAGAATTTTAAATGTCGATGTGTAGAAACATCGTTACGACGGTTCCATGACTGGAATGCACCTGGCATACAGTAAGTGCTCAATACATGTTAGATTTTCCTCCTCCTGTTTCCACTGATGAAATTACCTTTCAGCTGTGCTGAACATTTCCCTGTCTTAGACTGTTACTGTATATCAGAAAACAACCTTGTTGAGAACCTGCAAGAAGCCAGGTGCCGGACCTCAACTCTGGTCAATTTAGTGCTTGTACGGAAAGAAGACAGAGCTGCTTTTTCTGATTTTCCCCTCTTCACACGACTGGTACCCACTTATCTTATGGGCCCTAGTTCACTGTTACCATTTCAGAGACGCTGTCCTTTACTTCCCCTCATTTTCCTGTGGTGCTTATTAAAATTCCATGGTGCCTATAAAACTTTGTAATTGACTGGTATTTACCTACTTACTGTCTCTGGCCTCTAAGCTCTGCAAGGGCAGATTTACATTGATTTGATTTAAGGATCAGTACAGGACCTGACTTAGTAGGTGTTTAGCAAATATTTGTTGGGCGAATGAAAAGAAAGGCCTCTGTTGGCAAACAGTAGAAATCGTTCAACCCTGGGGCCATTTTGAGCATTGCCGCTTAGGAGGGTACTTAGCACACCAAGGTAGTAGTCTCAGTTGTATCGGAAAACATTCATTGACATCTTGAAGCAGGCACATGCATTTATTTTACTGAGGACATGAATAGAAAAAATCCATTGTAAAGATGACTGCCTTGCATTGTCCTGAATGGTATTTTATACCGTTTCTAGAAAGAAAAGAAGAACTGCAGGGAGTTCTCAGGGGCAGAACAAATGCCCATTTGTTAAAGTTTTACACGAACCGGGAAAGGCCACGTCTTTATATGTTTGCCCATGTCCTTTTCTTCAGTTTTTACAATGTCCTCCCGTTCTATGCAAGACAGACCCTCATTCTTGTTATTTCTGACTCAAACATGACTTGCTTCACTTTCCCAATGTAATTCATACTTCATTCAGTGGGAAGCCCCCTGAGAGGGGAGCGGTAGAACACAGAGAGGAGCAGCCTTGGATTCCAGACACTGGGTGGCAGGTTCTTACTCTGTGTCTCCCAGAACAGCCTCTGTGGTTGGTCACTTAACCGCTTTGGGGTGCAGTGTTTCTGCTTTAAAATAATGAGTTGGGCTAGTTCAGTGATCATGAAGGTCCTTCCGACTCTAGAACTGAACCCCTAATGTGTTCATATTTTACATGCAGTCTTATATGTGCCCATAATCGGCCTAGTCTTTCTTGTCTCCCTTGTAGAGCTCCCTTATTTTATGAAGAGTGTGCCCAGGTCCTGGCATAGTTTTCACCCCCTAGTGACCAGGTGGGGTTAGGAAAGGAGCCACCAGCCAGGTGTTTCCCACTGTGGTTCTTAAGGCAGTTCCAGGTGGTACTTTGGGTCCAGCTTTCTGGAACCTCTAACTCTTTTTCGCAAAAGGAGCTGAGTGAGTGATGGTGGAGTAGCAGGAGCTGTGGGCTCGAGGTTGAAAGGGATCTGGGTTCCCGGTCATGATGTACCACCAAATAAGTGCTTGATCATTAATTTTCTGGTCCCTGGTTTACGTAGCTATGCAGTGAAAGTATTTGGCTGGATCTCATTTTAGTGACCTTGTCGCTCTACCACTCTATGATTTAATCAACTAAATATAGTGCCAGCTGACCTTCCGAGGTGTCCTCTATCTGTTATCTCGCGGACTGCTGCGTTGGCATGTGAGGTGCGCTGGGAAAAGTTTAATCAGGCAATAGTGCGAGCTTTCTACTTGCAACTACTGCAAATGTGTTATCTTAACTTTCATATTAACCCTCGGACGCATTTCCTCCTTATATATTTTATAAGTACAGAAATGGGGTCTAACAGATTGAACTAACTTGCCCCAAATCACTGGGCCTATTGAGTGGCAGAGGCATGATGTGAACGCCAGTCTCCGACTCTGAGCGTCCCTCACTCCTCATCACTGGGTTTTACTATTCAGTGAGAACTGGCATGGATAATAGAAGGGACACGGGCTTGGGAAACCAAAGATACTGAAGCCCTTCAGTTAAACAGTCATTACCAACAGTGGGATTTTAGGAGTCTGATGTCATCAATCACATAAGCAAATCACCAAACATTCCACAGAATGAGATTAAAGAAGGAATTTTAGGAGTCTGATGTTCTGAGTTGTGGTCTTGCCACGGACCATGTGACCTCCGGCAGATGATTTACCTTGTTTCAGCCTCAGTCTCCTCGTCTGTAACTCAAGACGATGCTAGGAAGGTGAATGATGATGCTAGGAAGAGAGAATGGAAGCACCTACAAAATGGCCTAATACATTTTGGGGCACATATCAGGCATTCAGTGGTGACAGCTATTGGTATTTTAATTTTTGTATGTATTCATATATGATGAGTATTAAAGGTCATCGTTTGCACACTTGCTATTCATACTGCACTATCTTATGTTTTTGATGGTTAAAAATAACAATTGTTATAATGTATGGTCTCCAGTATAGGAGAGTTTATGGTTACATACCTATATAAAAAATAGTCCTTTAGGATAATTAGTTTATATCCATTTGGCAGCTTTGGAAATTGATGTTCCGAGCAACGTTGGTGACTTAAGTAATAATCTGTAGCATTTAATGAATTATTTACATGCCCTATAAATTAGATAACCTATTTACAAACCATTTACAAATGTTTCACATGTATTTCTTGCTTAATTGACAGAGATTGTGATGAAGGAAGTTGTATTTGAAGTGTAGCCCAAGTATCTGATAGCAAATGCAATAGGAGGTACCTCATTCCAAAAGATAGGAATACCCTCTATACAGATCTGGCTTCCTTCTTTACTCTGGTTCTTGTGGAATATTTGGTGATTTGCTTATGTGATGGGTGACATCAGACTCCTAAAATTCCACTATTGGTAATTAATTGAAAGGCTTCAGTATCTTTTAAGTATGAACAATTCTCTGGAATCCCCTACATCCTTCTTTGATTACCTGTTGATGGATAGACACTTGGGTTCCTTCCATGTCTTGTCTACTTGAAATAATGCTGCAGTGAACAGAGGGATGTCTGAATCTCTTCAAATTAGTGTTTTTATTTTCTTTGAATAAATACCCAGAAGTGGAATTTTTGGATCATATTGTAGTTTTCCATAGCGGTGGTAGCAGTCTGCATTCCCACCAGTGGTGTGCGAAGGTTTTTTTTCTCCACATCCTCAGCAGCACTTATTTTTTTGTCTTTTTGATAAGAGCCACTTTCACAGGTGTGAAATGGCATTTCACTGTGTTTTTGGTTTGCATTTTCCTGATGATTAGTGATGTTGAGCATGTTTTCATGTGCTCGTTACAGGCCATCTGCATATGTTCATTGGAGAAAGGTCGGTTCAAGTCCTCTGCCCATTTTTTATTTTTTTTATATATATATATAAAATTGTGTAAGTGCTTTATATAGTTTGGAAATTAACCCCAGACTGGATGCAGGATTTGCAGATATTTTCTCCCATTTGGTAGGTTGCCTTTTGTGTTTCTAACGGTTTCCTTCCCTGGGCAAAGGCTTTTGAATTTGGTGTTAAGTCTCATTTGTGTTTTTTTTGCTTCTGTTGCTCTTGCCTAAGGGGACTGGTTGCTACTACCAATGTCAAATTGCTTGCAACCTGTAATTTCTATTAGGAAGTTTATGGTTTCAGGTCTTACATTCAGGTCTTTAATCTATTTTGAAGTTTTTTATGTGGTTTAAGATAATGGTCCAGTTTCATTCTTTTGCATGTAGCTATTCAGTTTTCCTAACCATTTGTAGAAGATACTGTCTTGTCCCTGTAGAATATTTTCACCTTTTTCGCCATAGAGTAATTGACCATATATACATGCGATTCTTACTGGGCTTTCTGTTCAGTTCCATTGATCTATGTGTCAGTTTTCATCCCAGTACCATATTGTTTTGATTACTATAGCCTTGTTGTATAGTTTGAAATCAGGGAGCACGGTACCTCTAATTTTGCTTCTCTTTCTCAAGATCACTTTGGCTATTTGAGATCTTTTATGATTTCATACAAATTTTAGAAATTTTTAGGAAACAAACTGGTAGTTATCAGAGAGAGGAGGAGTTTGGTTGCAGTCAAAATAGGTGAAGGGAATGAAGAAGGACAAACTTCCAGTTATAAAAATAAGTAAATCATGGGGCTGTAATATACAGCATAAGGAATGAAGTCAGCGCTATAACAACTTTCTATGGTAGAAGATGATAACCAGACCTATTGTGGGGATCATTTTGTAATGTATATAAACATCGAATCACTGTGGTGCACACCTGAAACTAATAGGATATTGTATGTCACTTATACGTCAATAAAAAGAATTTTCTATCTTGCCCCTCCTGTGTTGAAAATGTTTTAAACTTCTATTTTTACACTTATTTACTTTACAGCCCTGTCTCATTCTTTTGACCTGTGTGTCAGAGAAAAAACTCCAGCAATAGTAGAGCCTGACATTTTCAGTCAGTATCAGCACTTTGTCTTGACTGTTTTTGTTCCTATGTACCAAATTCACTTAAACTATTTTTACTTACAGTATCTGGGGTGACTCCAGATAACTCAGTGTTATTTTATGCCTTTTGTTCCACTTCTGTCTGTAAATTTTGCTTTTACAGTACAGTCAGTGAAACTAATGGGAACGTACAAGCCACTTTTCTCCTTAAGAAGAACAGAACTCTGACTTTTCTTGTTCAGCCCAGCTGGAGCGACCCTCTCAGCACTTTTGAGTCCTTGCAAGGACAGTGACGACCCTAGTGTTTTGTCCTGCAAAATAATACTTGAGCCTTCACGTCACCAGGTTTTACCTGCAGACTGGTTCTAATTAAAATGAACGTTGAGCTGTGTCTAAATGCTATATAACCCAGGTTTGATAATGTCAATCAGGTTTCCTTGAGATTGGAGAGCCATCCTTTTAGAAGGAAAATTTTTTTCTTGGAGACTTTTATTAATAGGATTTTACCTATAATAATTATATAAGAAATGATCAAAGAGATAGTAGGTAATTAGTCAGATAAGAAAGCTGAATTATGCCCCTAATACTTCAATGACATGTATATTTATTTTTTTAAAAAATAGATTTTAAAGCTCTCCTAGCCTCATATAAACCTTCATCTAGAATTGTATCCTTAACTAGGTTTGTCTCAAACACAGGTCAACCCTCTGGAAGAAACTTGATTTGTGTAACCATTTACATATATTACAGTTATTCACTATTTATTGAATGCTTACTGTGTTTCAGGTATTGCCATTCAATCCCTACAAAAACCCTAGAGATGGTTTTTATAATCCCCCCCACTGTTCACAGTCCTAATAAATTGTAAAAAAAATCTGTATCTTTTTTATTAATTGCGTCTCATGTACAAGGCAGTGTGCTGAATGCTTTGTATAACGTTGAATTGAACCTCGCAGTACTTTCATGTTATTCTCAGTTTTCCAATGAGGAAAACGATGCTTGAGATGTTAGGTGATTTGCTAAGGTGTCACAGCAGGTAAGGGGTGGATCAGGCAACCTTTTGACTCCACCTCTCCCTCCTCCTAACCACCAATGTGTTTTGTTGCTCTCTTGCCATTATGGTATATAAAAGTGCTGAATTAGAATTTGGGTCTCTTACTCTAAAGCTTATTTCATGTGCTGTCACTTTTGCCCTCCAGTTTCCTTACCCTCTATATCACTCCTTTTAATGGGCTTTAGAAACTGAACTCTAATGCAGAACTTTACACGTATGAGAAACATGCCTTTGGTTTATCGCTGTCCGGCAGCCAGTTCCGTGGGGTGTTAAGGGTCACCTTGGCTATCGGTTGTAGGCTGTGGGCCTCCTAAATGAACTGTTAATTTGCTTTTAGAAGACATAATCCTCTCTTACATGTCGGTTAGAGTGCTTTGTTTCATTAGCAGGTGAAGGAGTCGACCATTAGGATCCACCTTCATACTGTTTTTGAATCTGATTTTTGAAAGTTACATACCCACCTTGGTGATAAACTTTAATAACAGCTACTACACTTTATGATCGAAAAGGAGACCTTTTGTCTTTTCAGTTTACGTGTCTTTTGATCTCCTTTCTAGGTTGGAATACTCCTTCATTATTCCACCCTCGCCACAGTACTGTGGGTGGGGGTGACCGCCCGAAACATCTATAAACAAGTCACTAAAAAAGCTAAAAGGTGCCAGGATCCCGACGAACTGCCACCTCCACCAAGACCAATGCTCAGGTACCTAATAGCTCTGTTTCGTGCACCGTGTTGCTATCACATTTTACGAAGCATTGTCATAGCAAAACTGGGTGCATTGTGGAAGGTAGAAGGGTGGACTTGGAAGCTGGGCTTCCTGGTTTTGCATACTGGCTACGCCTCTTCCAGCCGGGAGTCCTTCTTGCAGCTCTGACTCTTTATTTGCCTTTCTATCTCATCTATAAAGTGGGAACGATTTTACCGCATAGGGCTGTTGCGAGAAAGAAACGGGTTAGTGTGTAGAGCAGCCGAGAAGGTACCGACCATATAATAGGCTCTGTGAGAATGTCAGCTCTTCTCATTTTCCCGGGATCTGGTCATAGGTTTTAATCTACTCAAGTATGCAGCAGTTTTTTATTCTCTGCAAAAGACAAAATAGTTTTGGAGTTAGGCCCTTTTTACCCGTTATCATTAAGAAATTATCAGGGGGTTATCATACTTGGTGAGTAAAAATTGATTGATGTCTCTGAGCTTATTGAATGCCGGATATGTACTTGATTTAAAGAAACCCCCCCCACCCCTCCTTGAGGAGTTTAGTCTTTGAGGAGACAGACATGTGAAGAACTGATGGTTGACAGCTTAAGAACTATAGTGGAGATGCATTTTTTGAAAGTGCAAACAAAGTGGCCATTAATGGGAGGCGGGGGCTATTAATCATTGTTCAACCTCTGGTTTGAACCTCCATTAGTGATGAGAGCAAAGGGCAGAGGTGGCACTTTAGATACAGAATTGTGTGGTGAGCTGAGGAACTTTGAGAAATGCGCATGGGCTGGAACCGAGGCGGATGATGTAGAGTAGCATGAATTCAGGGTGAATGCAGAGTTTCAGGCCTGTGGGTGCCATGTTAAAATGGGGGCGGCTGTCGAAGATTTTTAACTAAGGGATTATAACCCGACTGGGTGACTTTTTAAAAGAACAGCCACATATTGGTCTGGCATATAAGCTGGAATGCCTGAGAATAAAGGATTCCACTCAGGGCATGGGGGTGCCCCATGAGGCCTGAGACCAGAGCAGTGACATACAGCATACAAGGGACACTTGATCTGGAGGCTTGAGGCAGCTTCTTTAGGGCTGATGACCAACTTGATTTAAGAGGTGAGTTGGGGAGAGAAATACAAAGACGCCTGCAGATTGTCTACTCCAGGGAGCTAGGTTGCCTCAGCTGAAGGTGCTTCCAACCATTGAGAAAATCCTATAAGGAAAGTAAATGGTGGGGGCGAGGGGGGCTGGGTAAGCATGGAGGGGTAGGCTCTCCACTGCTGTCCTGTGGAAAGGTGACATTTTTGGAAGTCTGTTGCTCAGCAGAGAGGATAAGCTAGACATACTGCAGACGGGACAGGACAGGTTTATGTGTGCAGTCCTGTAAACAAGAACCCCAGGGAGAGGTGGTTAAAAAAAAGAGCAGTTCTTGGACCAGGTCTATGTTTAATAGATGGGTCATGGAAAATAAAAGGAAAAATCATGTGTCATGGAAATGTACACTTGAAACCTATATTATCTTATCAATTAATGTCACCCCAATACACTTAATTAAATATGAAATGAAATAAATAAAAGTATTCCGATGATAAAAAAAAGACTTGAAAGAGAACACGTGAGAACATACAAGATTCAGGCAGAACAATGAGGGGCAGCAGCGGAGCGCGGCTGAGTCAGATTATAGAAACTGGGAGACGGCGTTTGGCCAAGAAACTTGGGAACCCTGTCCTCAAGCAGCTGCTCCTTCCTGTTGGGTTCTCAGAAAAAACGCAGATGGTTAAGGAAAAGGCAGCTTGGACCCCAAACCCTATGCAGTCCCTGAATGGGACCCACAAGCACCCCTTTTAGCTTTAGAGAGTGCAAGCTCCTCCCTCTAGGATGTCCTTCTTCCCCATGACCTTGAGCCTGAGGAAGCCCCAGCAACCTGGTCCCTGGAGGGTGGGCAGTTTCCGTAGCACTGGGTGGAAACAGCCGCATGATAAGGTGAGGAAGGAGACTCCCACACATGATGGCGGTAATACTTCCAGGAATTTGTCATGGAAGGAAGAGAGGAAGAAGGTGGTAGGTCCAGGCAAGTTTTAGGAGAAAGGAGAAAACTTGGGACATAGTCTAGGCTGAAAGTAAGAGGCAGTGGAGAAGATTTTGAAGCTGCACATGAGAGTTAATTGAGAAGAAGTCCTGGAGGTGGGAAGGGCAAGAGTGGCAGACAGGGATGCAGAACCTGAGATTAATTTGGGAAATGATGCCGCCTTCTCAGGAAGGAAGCCCATGGGAAACAGTAGAGCAGGAAGGGGGTGGGGGGAGTGGGTCACGGATATTGGCCTCCCTCGAATGTGTGAAATAGAAGACAAGGTTATGGTTTTATAGTGTAATTTGCTGTCTTTTTTTCAGCAATACTAATGAATACCAGATTTAAGGATTTTAGTATCTGTGAGCATGACTAAGAAACAATCTATGGAAAAATGTTCTGAACAGTGCCTTTATTCAGCCCATTCAGGATTCGGGCTGTGCCCCAAGAAGTAACAAATGCAGAATTAAGATTCTGACTGTACCCTGGGCGGCCCAGCCAGGGCGGAAAGTTTCCTGTTTCTCTTTTCAGAGAGCTCAAAGAAGCTTCAGCCAGAAAAAGCAGCTTTGTAGCTAGGACCAGCCACCACTCTCTCCCTGCGTTCTTAGTGCACTGTTGTTTGTCTTGCTTTCCTGAGCTGGTCTGTGGGGAAGGGGCCAGGCAGGGCCCTAGCACTGCGTGAGGCTGCGGGACGCAGGTGTCTCAGTGGGCTGGGAATAATACGCAGGCTTAGCTGAACGTTGATAAATAATTACTATGTCATTATGTGTTTTGTCTGGACTATGGCACAGTGAGATATGAAAGTCCATTTTGTAATGGACTAACTTTCCAGTTCACCAGCTGAATCTAAAAAAGCAAAAACAGTTCCCCCAGCCCCCAAAAAGGATAAAAACCCGTTCTTTGCTGTAGCTGAGTGTTACTTTGCTTGTCCACAGGGTGGCAGAAGATGACCAGCTTTCCCCAGCTCAGAAACTTGGTAGACTTTGTGCTTTGGGCAAAACAGAAATTAGTAAAAATTTTAAAAACATTCTTGCTAACACAGCAACCTCTAAAAGTTAACCTTCCATTTACCATCGGAATAGGAATGATAATCTTAAGGAATGACTTCTGCAGTAAAGAGACGCATGCACTGTAACTAGCTGGATAATGAGCTATTCCTTCTTTATTCCTCCTGTTAGGTTTTACCTGATCGGGGGAGGTATTCCCATCATCGTTTGTGGCATAACAGCGGCGGCCAACATCAAGAATTACGGCAGTCGGCCAAGTGCGCCCTAGTGAGTAGTTTGTGTTCTCTGTGTACCTGACCCAGTTGCTTCTCTTGTAACTTTCCCAGGCAGTGAAGCTTGGTGCAATGTTGTAAACAGTCTGTTGAGCTGCATAGCATCTGAGCTGGTTCACCGTTTTCTTTCCTGTAGCTGCTGGATGGCGTGGGAACCCTCCTTGGGAGCCTTCTACGGGCCTGCCAGCTTCATCACTTTTGTGAACTGTATGTACTTTCTAAGCATATTTATTCAGCTGAAAAGACACCCTGAGCGCAAGTATGAGCTGAAGGAGCCCACCGAGGAGCAACAGAGGCTGGCGGCCACTGAAAATGGCGAAGTCAATCAGCAGGATTCAATGTCTTTGTCTCTGATTTCCACTTCGGCATTGGAAAATGAGCACACTTTTCATTCTCAACTTTTGGGGGCCAGCCTCACTTTGCTCTTATACGTCACTTTGTGGATGTTTGGGGCCTTGGCTGTCTCTTTGTATTACCCTCTCGACTTGGTTTTCAGCTTCTTTTTCGGAGCCACGTGTTTGAGCCTCAGTGCATTCATCATGGTTCACCACTGTGTCAATCGGGAGGACGTCAGACTTGCGTGGATCATGACTTGCTGCCCAGGCCGGAGCTCGTACTCAGTGCAGGTCAACGTACAGCCTCCCAACTCCACTGGGACAAATGGTGAGGCCCCGAAATGCACCAATAGCAGCGCGGAATCTTCGTGCACCAACAAGAGTGTGTCAAGCTTCAAAAATTCCTCCCAGGGCTGCAAATTAACCAACTTGCAGGCTGCGGCAGCTCAGTGCCATACCAATTCTCTCCCTTTGAACCCCACACCTCAGCTTGATAACAGCTTGACAGAACACTCGATGGACAATGATATTAAAATGCACGTGGCGCCTTTAGAAGTGCAGTTTCGAACAAACGTGCACCCAAGCCGCCATCACAAAAACAGAAGTAAAGGACACCGGGCGAGCCGACTGACAGTCCTCAGAGAATATGCGTATGATGTCCCCACAAGCGTGGAAGGCAGCGTGCAGAACGGCCTACCGAAGAGTCGGCCGGGTAACGGCGAAGGCCACTCACGCAGTCGGAGAGCGTACTTAGCCTATAGAGAGAGACAGTATAACCCGCCCCAACAAGACAGCAGCGATGCCTGTAGCACGCTTCCCAAAAGCAGCAGAAATGTGGAGAAGCCAGTTTCAACTAGCAGTAAAAAAGATGCAGTAAGGAAGCCAACTGTAGTTGAACTTGAAAGTCAACAGAAGTCTTACGGCCTCAACCTGGCCGTGCAGAATGGACCAATCAAAAGCAACGGGCAGGACGGGCCCTTGCTGGGTACGGATAGCACTGGCAATGTTAGGACTGGATTATGGAAACACGAAACTACTGTGTAGCGGTGGTGGGCATCCTGGCCGGAGGCCCGTGCGGACTCTGATAGTCACATTCCGTTAAGCTGTGAACGCGAGAACACGGACTGTTTACAGCCACCTTAGGGATTCAAAAGAATTTTGAATAAACTTCAAAGTTGTGGATTTTACTTATTTTATATCCCCCCGTTGTTGCTGTTTTTATGAATTAAAAAGAAAGAAAGGAAAACCTCTAAAGCATTGTTTTAGTTGTCAAAGCACCAGCAGGACATTTTGGGTATCTGAAATGTGATTTTTTAAAATCTGTAATTTTGACTTACCATTTCAGACTTGTATTTAATACAATAAATAGGTGTTTGTCATTGTGTCAGTTTTGTATTTTTGTATTTTACAATGGAAGCATCTAGTACTATTTTAATGATGTTTATACCTTGGGGTAGTTTAATGAGGTATATGCATAAGTCAGTTATCAGATTTTTACATGATTAGATCCCCTGATTATGGTATATGGATCAAAAGGCTCTTGGATTGATATATTTTATAAATATAATTTTAAATGCTACAGATTTTTTAAAAAGATCTTACAGAATGTTTTTTGAAAATGGAAATGCCTTAAAAGCTCTTCCTAAGTTACTTTTGCCATATCAATTAGATCCTATTAATACCATTGTTACCACTCGTATAGCTTTTCAGTTGTTTATTTTTGGGTTTCATTTTCCAATATGATCTTTTTTCCCCCCTAGCACATTATTCTTGAATATAAATGAAGGGCTACCATATAAGGTTCACATTCACTTATTCTGGAATCTTCAGTACTGCTTTTATGTTGGCTATTAAGTTGTTCTTAAAGAGAGGAAGTTCCTTAGGTCCATGCTAAAGGGTAAAAGCAGGTCTAACCCAATAGTTAACGTTGGCCATCAGTAAACTGCGGTCCTTCTCCATCCGTAGTCCCCGGTCTCCCTGGGGTCAGTCGTGAAACTCTCAAAAGTTAGATTGGAACTCCTTTGTACATTCAGTCTCTCCGACATGCAAAACAATGCCTTGAAAAGATTGGCACAGTGTGGGTCTGGTTTATTTTTTTAATTTATTGGGGTGAAATTGGCTAATAGAACTATATAGGTTTCCAGCATACTATTCTGTAATACATCATATATATCATGTTGTGTGTATATCTGGTTTTGACAGCAGTCTGAAGACTTAAATAGGATCATACTTAAACGTATACATTTCAAGAAATGCTAAAAGAGTCACATTTACCTTGATGAACCTCAAAATCTGATTTACTGCTTATTTTCAGAGTAGTTAGTACAGATATCATGAGATCACCCACTAAGAGTATAAATGTTCTTTTTCAGTGGTTACTGCATTAGAGAGAAAGGAATAACTTTGCTTTGCAGTAACAAAACCGGGAGTTCTAGTTAAGCTTTTCGTCAGGTGACAGTTTTAGAGACATTCTTTTCAAGGGAGCGGAGGACAGCAAGGCAACCAGATGGATAGATGTGCCTTGAACCGCTGCCTGACCCTCCTGTATATGTACAGGCTGATGTTTAGAAATGACAAAGATAAACTAATAAGAAGTGGAGCGAATAATTATTTCTATTGCTATTTAATTTTGCTCGGTTATTTTCTAGTTCATTATCCCAAGTTTAACCTGTTTCTCTGACCCATGGGTCAATGCTACATAAGGAAAGAACTTCTTTCTTTTTCTTTTTCCTACCTCTCCACAGGAAGTAAAGAATTTCCCTTCCTGAAAAGGTTCATCACTCAGTAAGCACATTTACTAGTTTAAACATAATTTCCTGTAGGTAACAGAAGGAATTGAAGCTTGCCGGCGGGGGCAAGTGGCAGACTGGGGAAAAAACTCAAATATTTGGAATAAAATGAAGAGTCCACAAGGTATTCAGAGTGTTTTGATACTCAAAGCGGAAAAAGTGGTGAGTGATGATTTCCTGCATCGTGTTCTTAGTATTCGATTGAATCAAACTGGTGTTTGCGTGTAGGAAATGGGTACCACGTTGCATCCCTCCATCTTTGTCATTTATGGTTTATGGTTTGTTGCTGGTTGAGATTTCTCTATTTGTCATAGAATCATAAACTCTTAAGAGATGTTTTCCTTTTCTTAGAGATTGGCTAATACTTTTACCTCATTTAAAATTCTTGGCAACTGAGGGCCAAAGAATTCCTGATGAGCTGAAAGTACCGCGGGTCACGCCCCAGCTGGGACCGGGATCGTTTCTGGATGCTGCAGCCACCAGCCACCCCATCTCATCGTTTCTCTGGGGGTGACCACTCATGCCCTTCGCAGTGTTTTTTCGCAATAATTGACCAGACTTTGTTCTCATCCCAGTGATGTTGAGTTTTAATTTCATAATGAGCCATATCTATTTAAGGACACACATGTGATTTATTCTTTTATCCCATGAAAGCATTTTTAATTATGTCATTATACACTATAGAATGTATATAATATGCACACATTATATCCATAACTGGATGTTATATGCTAACCTATGTTTTAAGTAATAATTAGTAATCAGGTTTGTGTGTGAATATTTTTGTAACTAGATTTATATACGTGTGTAAATGTGTGTTATTTCAGGTCATTAATAGGCAGCAAGTAATTTCTAAACCTCAGCACAAGTAACAGAGTAACTATCCATATTCCATGTATTTATATAAATGGATATAATCTTCTAAGCAGGTGACACCTTGTAATTAGATGATGATATTTAGATTGTGCTCATTATTGAGAAATAACAATGTTAAAACATTTAGACCTGTGTGTTTCAGGCACTGAGTTCAGAGTGCTCAAACTGGAGTTGGTTAAAACCATAATTAAGGAAGTAAAAAACGAACTGACAGCATTTAATATAGAAATTAAACTAATCACATTGAGGAAAGTGATTCCTATAACTGCCATCCAAAATTTAAAGCAAATGTTAATTTTGTTCTTATTTTTGGAGTCACAGAATCATTTGATTATTTTAGTATTCACTTCAGTCTCTAAGAGACGATTTGATAATTCTTAGCCACTTAAAATAATGTTTCCCCAACCCGAGTCATTCTAGCACTTTCGTCAACTGTGCCATATTTTCCCTAACATTTATATTAATAGTGTCATGTGGATCAACTCACTCTTTTTCACTGAAGTATAAGTAATAATAAATCCAACAGATTTATCTGTATAAATGAAGCAAACTCTTCAAGGACAAATTTGTAACTGTTTATAATCTGTCAATACTAAAAGCCTCTGATTACATGGTGCTTGGTTTTAGACAAAGATAAGATTGCAATCAGTACGATTCTGATTTTTAAGTCTCGGCATTAATTGTTTGGCGTCTTCTTCCCAACCTGCCCTGGGGCCTCTAGTCTAGAACCGCATCTCATATTGGTCATTAAAGCTCCTGGCCAGTCCTAATATTGCAATACAGAAGGCACTGAATGATAAATGCAACCCGTAGGCGAGTATTATATTCACTTAGTCACTGTGTACCACCGATGAGTCCTGTCTTCCTGCTTCCTCGGTGCACCCAGCTATGCAGTAAAGCTTCTGGCGGCCTCTGGCCATAGCTTTTTCTGGACCCCTCTCACGGGGGATTCCAGTGGCTCACAATGTGGTATTAAGAAGCCCCCATTTATATATCCCCAACAGACCGCTACCTTCGCTAAGTTTCTGGCCAAAAATTCATTAGATTTTTTTGTTAACTTTTGTTTCCTGTCATTTGAAAAAGATATTGTCCTAATTGTGTCGTGTTTACAAAATGGTAAAAGATGAGAGAAAGGGAAAAAGTTTAATCCGCTCTCTGCTGTTGCCATCTAGTTGGAGAAGGTGCTGCTGAAGACTTTTGTTACATATTACAAGTATTTTTAAAATATTCAAAATATTTTCAGAGCATGCTTCAGGAGCATTTCAAACTGAGCTATTCCAGCAATGGAAGGAAGCCAGCTAATCACATCCTCAGTTTTGCAGTCATGTGTTCCCTCTGTCTTGGCACATAATATTTTAATGAAGGTTTGCTTGTATAGATAACTGTAGAGTGTTCAAATATACATGCAAGATAAGCTTGCTTGCAAAGCCAGGTGGAGTCATGTGTGTTAGCTCAGGTTGAAGACTGCGTCTAGGAGGACCTTTCATGTGAAAGTAATGAACTCCTGTACTCAACAGGGTGCTTGCTCCGTTATCCATATCCATTCCTTTATAAAACTGAGTAAAAGTATGAATTTAGTGGTCAACTATGATTAACAATTTTTACTGCTTAGTTATTTTTTCTTGAAAATGTTGAGTCTTGGTAAACTAGTTTTCAACATTGAGGGGCTTAGCACAATAAAAGTTTCTTCCTAAATGGTCGGACCTGCGTTGCTAGCCTGACCGAGCTCCCCAGGGGTTCTCGCCCAGGTCTCTGGCCTTCTCCGTGCCCTTCCCTCTGAGCATGGAGGGCAGCACATCGGGAGATTGTATGCATGAGGCCTGGAGATGGCATATGTCATTTCTACCCACAGTGTGTAGCCCGAGCACATTTGTGGCCACACCAACTGCAAAGGAAGCTGGGAAACGTAGTCTGCCTGTGTGCAAGGAAGATGGTTTGGAAAACAAAATAACCAGGCTGCAAATAACCTGATTCCCTGTATGAACAACAGTGAGACTATTCCTACCTAATCTTCATTACATCTTTAAAGGTTTAGTTTTAAGCACTGATGCATTATGGGTTCCAAACAAAGAATGCTAGATTTCATGTCATTTTGAATTTGGTGGCCAACAGTTTGAAAAGAATTCAGCAAGTACATGGAAATTCATTATTCATTCTACTAATCCCTTAGAGTGTAGTGAGAAACTACTTCATTGTTCAAAGTTAATTCATTTAGCCCTGGCTAGTATGGCTCAGTGGATTGAGCACCAGCTGCGAACCAAAGGGCCGCTGGTTCAATTCCTGGTCAGGGCACATGCCCGGGTTGCGGGCCAGGTCCCCAGTAGGGAGTGCTCAAGAGACAACCACACATTGATGTTTCTCTCCCTCCCTTACCCTCTCAAAAAATAAATAAAATCTTAAAGCATTTTAAAACTTATTCATTTGTAATTTTTTATGTTGAACCCTTACCTGCTTAAATCTCATAACTCATTTTGATAGTTTTTTTTCCTTGCATGCCATCAGAATTTCTGGGGTGAATTTTATGTGGTAAAGATGGCTGAATCTGCTCCCATTTGAGGATACATTGCATGACAGACCCCTCCACATAGGCAAAACACTAAGAGAATATCCATCTGTACTCGCATTCTAACCATGCCCCTGAAGACATTTTGGTCCATCTTCCCTGAAATAGTTTGGCTTTATGGAACTCGGAAGAAAACCCTGTAGCTTTA